AAAAAAAAAGTGTCAAAGTATGGGTTGAACTGCAACGCGAGCCCTGTAACATGAGAGTACACACTGCCTCCCAGGACTGAGCGATAACACACACAAACGCTAACACACACTGACAGAATGAGGCATCTCGGCTCCAACACACAACCTATGTCATTATCTATCGCCGTGTTAATACTACAGTCGATGGTTGATACACAATGACACAGAGACAACACAACACTGCAGACAAAGCAGCATCTCTCTCTAAGATTCTGTCTCTTTCTCTGCGTGTGTGCTTGTTTAAAGGTATATAGGAGGATTTTCTACTTCCGGGTGGATCATCAAGACTATTGGTCCTCCCAATTGTCAATCATTCTAGAGATACAGTATGTACTCGTCAAATAAGACCAGAGAGGGGAGATGGCAGTTCTTCCCTAAAATTTGGGAAAATCCTCCTATATACCTTTAACAACCTCCTGAATGCAGGCCATGGAGCAGAGCGGGGATAGTGTATGTCTGTGTTACTGTGTTGTGTTTTATGTTATGTGTATTTTAAATGTATAGCAGCCTGTGAGTCCGAGACAAATATCCTTCGGGACATCATAAATTAATCTTGAATCTTGAAATATTCCTATAAATCCCATTATTCCCAATTCTAGGGTTTCAACTCCAGCATCACCCTGAGCCACCGCCACCAGAAGCAGCTGCATTCTCTCCAAACAGGAGGGCTGTTTGTGAGGGCACTAAGCAGGATTAAAACCAGTTTTCTTCAGCAGCTCTCACTGTTCCTACAATATTTACAACTGTGCCCAGCGCTTTGGGTGTCTATGTCCAAAGAAGGATTTTTATTGTCTGTGTGTAGCATAATTTTTTACTTTTGCTGAAACCCCATCAATTCAATTCAATGTGTTCTAGCCCTAAATCACAACAACAGTTATCTGGGAGGACTTAACAAAACCGTGGCCAACCCAGGCTAGAGAATCAAACAGTTCAAGCACAAGAAATGCAATGATAAAAAACACATAGAGCCATTGGTCCATAATTGGCAGATGACCAATGTCCATAAATGTTGATAAATGTCCCATAAATGTTGTTGAATCATCACCATCACCATCAATATTGCTTCTTCCCACTCCATTTCAGGTTTGTATTGGGGTGAAGAGGAAATGCATATGTATGTATTTATGCCAAACAACTGAATCTTGTATGAACCTGATTTTATTTTTAATTTTTTTAATGAAATGAAATGTTCTATAATCAAGAATACGCTCTATAATACAGTTTTAAGGATTGCACGCTTTCACAAATGAATGGACTAGCAATATTCTCTACTAATAAAATTGGAACAGAAGCAGCTTTGTTATAGGCTCTAGTCTAGTATAAAGAACTGTTTTAATGGACTGCACGCTTTCCCACTGAATTACCTGAGGCGCGTTGTTACAGGAAATAAAACAGGGACAATGCAAACTTGCCTTTTTGTAGTTGGTCCAGGTCCAAATGGATGAGAAGAGTTTTGGTGGCTATGGTCCAGCCTCCTCCAGACCTTCTTGTGTCTCCTGTCCGTGGAGCGCGTGGAGCAGGAACGGCAGAGCGCGTCTCCAGCGACGTCAAGCGCCAAACTGCACACGACGTTTCAGCGCTTCAAAATAAAATCAGTGGATTATGTCGGTCGCAGCTCGTTGAGTGGGAAGCAAAGAAAGGGTTTAGTGATAGCAGTAAATGTAATACCACTCATATGAACCAGTTTTTGATCTATGCAGCTAAAATTCAGAGCAGTCTTCCTGAAAACGTGAGACAGGCTTCGACCACAATGTTCAAATCCAGAATACAGTTTTGTTTAGCTGTGCATACAACTGAAGGATTACATTCACTCTTGTTAATTGGGATGATTTGTGGACGGCACGGTGGCGGTCCTGGGTTTGATTCCACCTTCTTTCTGTGCTGTGTTTGCATGTTCTCCCCGTGTCTGCGTATAGTTTCCTCAGGGTGCTCTGGTTTCCCCTACCACTAAAAACATGTAGTAAAAACAACATAGATCAGAGTGAATGAGTGTGATTGAGTGCGACACTGGTCTGGCGCTAAAATAAATTTAAATTACTCACTTATTTGTGTGACTGTTTCTATCTTGTTTTGTTAATAAAGTAAGTCATGTTTATTTGTATTGCACATTTTACAGACCAGGTCCCCCTAAAGTGCTTCACAATGTTCTGAAACCAAATATTTTTCCATTCACACACGGTGATGACAGAAGCGGGACACCGAACACACTGGTGCATCAGAGCCCCAAACCAATCCATTCAATCATTCCATTCGTACCTGTATTGTACATGTTTTTAGTGGTAGGGGTAACCGGAGCACCCGGAGGAAACCTACGCAGGCACGGGGAGAACATGTAAACTCCACTCAGAAAGGCCCTGTTCCGACCGGGATTCGAACCCAGGACCTTCTTGCCCACGCACTTTGAGTTTCCTTGTGTATGAACTGTGCCATACACATAAGCTTGCCTTACAGGACACAGCTTGGAGCCGAGAAGAACGCAACACATTACGCTCCTCAGACTCTTATTCTGAAGGTTCGCAACAGTCTATGGTCTGACTCCAAATAATTTGACTCGCACTGAGGCAGCAGCAGCAGCAGCCTCAGGACCCCCGCCCCCGTCTCCCCCTCCTCCCCCTCAAATAAAGACTGCCTTGTTAGTGGATTCTAGACACCGTTTCAACAGAAGGAAACACTACCGCCTTTCATTCTCATAAGAAGTGTTCAAAGAGTGCAAACGCGGAGTCAACACGTTCACTTTTTAACAGTCTCCAGTTATAAGTCCATGTATATATGCATTCATTATAATAATACAATGACCTTAAATCAATGGGCCTGATTGTGCACGCGATGGTATAGCGTTAAATAGCCTGTCAGTAGTTAACTCAGAGGACGTTACAAAGTTGTCGATTCGCCAACACAGATCAGAGAATCAAACAGGAAATGAATGCAATGATTAAAAAAAACCATAGAGCCACTGGTCCATAAGGGGCGAGATGACCAATGTTCATGAATGTTAATATATGTCCATACATGTCGAATGTCCTGGATCATTATTATACATTAAAATAGTGTTTGTATATATACGTTTGTAGTAAATCGATAAATACAAAAATACAAATACAAAATATCTCACCTAATGATGTCCGGGGCCTAATTACCTTCACCAGGGCAGGGACGCCGTAAGACCATACTTATATTTTATACATAGTTATTTAGTTCTGTTGTTGCACTATGATGTTTTTCTTCCTTGAACTTTATGGTGTGATCCACATTCACACATAATCCAGAGGCGCTTCACATCTGGCAGGAGCAGAGAGCCGCAGGTCACATCCACAGACAGTGATACTGAGATGTTTGAGTCAACAGCGAGCCCCTGTGGCGAGTTGTGGAATTACAACTGAAAAAACTGAGGAGGTTTCTGTTGGTTGTTCAGTCGCTAAAGAATCCCAAAGTCAATATTGAAATCGTATTAACACTAAAACTATCAGAGCCGGGTTTTGGCTGTTTCCATTCAAACTAACGGATTTCTGAAAATTCCGCCCAAATATTTTTAGTTTTCCACCAGAGTAAGTAAAGAGTAAGCTAAGACATTTATGAGATGTGTTTCGACCTTTACTCACTTTTTAAAAGTGCTGAAACTGGTGAATATAACTTAAATACAGCAAAAGCAGTTGTTAGGTGATAGGCTCCCAAAGGCTAACGGCTAGCAAATAAACTGTTGCTATGGTGCCACGTCTCTGGTGGAAGTCCACACTGACTCGAGTAAGAACCAGTACAGAACCAGTCCAGGACCTGTCCAAGACCAATCAATAGACCAGTCCAGACCAGGCCAGCCCAGGATCAGTTTATAGGCCAGCCAGTCCAGGACCAGTTCCAGACCAGTCCAAGACCACTCCAGGATCATTCAAAAGTCCAGGATCAGTCAAAGACCACACCAGGACCAGTCAAAGGCCATTCCAGGACCAGTCCAAACCTAATTACAACCTTTACTTTTGTAAATCTGTTTGTTTCATTTAACACATCAGCTCAGCTTGCATGAGGACCATAGTCCATGTATTAGGAGTGGACTGACCGAGAACTGACGTCACCCATAGTGTTAGCTTTAATGTGGAAGAAGCTGATTTGAACACAAGGTAGCTGGAGCCAAATTCCATGTATGGAGATTGGCTTCCTGTCGTAACAAGGGCAGACATGTTGCTAACATGGTTGCTAAGGCAAGCTGGACTAGTTGTTTAGTTGCAATACTCCATAATAATATTCTTCCTTGTTTAAAATACAAAATCTGGAACCAGGACTCACGGGTCACATTGAGGAAAACCACACTGACTCTAATATTTAGTCTATGCTCGACTCAGAACCAGTCCAGGACCAGCACATTGAATAAGGAGCTTTAACTGTTATAGAAAGTTGGTTACCAAGCAACCGAACATGGTTGCGTTTGAGTTTCAGTTACAGTTTTAAAGGACGTACTTATTACTCGCTTATTATTGAACTTTGAACAAGTGCCGATCGAAATAAAATCTGCTCTGATTGCAAACAAGGGTAAGAGCAATTAGAGCCCAGAGCAAATGTGCAACCCTGGTGGAAACAAGGCTCCTCTGGGCTTTAAGATTCTTAACACACCAAGAGGGACCTGGTTTGTTTGTGCAGCAATAGACTTCTGTCGCCTCAACATCAAAAAACACACAGAGACAACAGCTTTGGGTTTGAGTATATTTTCAAAGAATACTTACAAAAGTGATAAAAAACATATTAGAAAAAGCCATCTACAGTTTTTGCAGAAATCAACCCAAAAAAGCTGATAAATGTGGTTTATTTTTTGCTAAATACAAGAATATAAGAATTATGTGCAGTGCTTGTAGTATGTGGTGCAAACTTGCCTGAGTTCTGTTCTTATTGCATAGAACCGAAAACAACTGAAAGGAACTGATGAATTTAAACTTTTTTTTGGGATTTGTTGAAGCTACGCAGGCTACGCAGGTTTAGCCCTTGAAGTTCTCAAAGATCTCTGCAGCGCCGAGCCAGGACCTGAAGCTGGCCAGGCCCTTGTCTCGGATCTGCTTCCGGCCCTTGTCTGTGATCACGTCTCCGCTCTCCTTCACGATCACGAGTTTGGGAACTGTTGTGATCTTGTATCGCTCCTTCAGTTCACTGGAAAACAACAAACACAAAGTTAACAACAAAAGTATCCTATGTTTTGGAGAGAGGTTTTATTTGAGTGGTTCTTTGCCGATGCAGGAGGGTCTAAGGACAGTGATGATCCAGGATATTTATGGACATGTGGATAATCTCAATTAAGATATGAATGAGTCGCAAACATTCCAACTTTCTTTAGTATTTTCTCTATACTCAAGAAAATAACATAAAATCACTAACTCTAGCATCGAAAAGAAACAAGTATATAATATCTATCTTTAGCATAATGAGTACAAAAAATAAAATGTTAAAAATTCAATTCAATCTCTTTGTGTATAGCCCTAATTTACAACAGCAGTCGTCTTGGGGGACTTTACAAAGTTGTTCATTCACCAACAACAGAACAGAGAATCAAAAGGTTCCGACATAGGACATGGAATAATAATACTTTTCCCCTAAATATCCCAAAAAAAACCTGCCCTTAGACCCTCCTGCATCGGCAAAGGAACCGCTCGAAGACCAACGGCTCCTATGTGTTTGTTATTACTGCATTTGTGTTGTAACAGTTTGATTCTCTGATCTGTTGTTGGCGAATCAACAGCTTAGTAAAGTCCTCCGCGAGGGACTACAGCTGTTGTGATTTAGGGGTGTAACAAAAAAACATTTAATTCAATTTCGACCAGGCGTCAAAATGTATTCTTGTCGCTGTAAACATTTAATATTATGGTCTTCTTACTCATAGACTACAATGTGTCTTATAGGTTATATAAATGCAGAGGCTAGTAATTATTCAACTTAATAGTGTTAATATGTAGGGTTAGATTTATGATTTAGGCAACACTTTTACCTGCTATCACAACAGTAGAAGCATGGCTAATCACTGGAAACACGTGTATAAAATATTGATGAAAAAAAAGTGCCTAAAGAATTAAAAGCAAAAGATCACATAAACATATAGCAGAGAGATATGCTACATAAAGCTGGGGTACCTACTTTTTGAAACCACAACATAATGTACCTAGCTCTAAAACAGTTTGGTTCTATGATTAATTTCCACATGCAAGTATTTTGGTCAATCAGCTTGCAGCCCAAAGCCTCAAATAGTGACTCACAGGGCTCTTTCTTACAACAGTTCTCAGGTCTCTGCTTCCTGTGGCTCAGAGAATGGACTTAAAAGCAGTTTGTTTGTTAAAAAGTCTCTGGCCTCGCACCAAAGTACATCTAGGACTCAGAGGAGCACAGGGACAGGCCTCCTGCTGGGACTCAGGAGCACAGGGACTGGCCTCCTGCTAGGACTCAGAGGAGCACAGGGACTGGCCTCCTGCTGGGACTCAGAGGAGCACAGGGACTGGCCTCCTGCTAGGACTCAGAGGAGCAGAGGGACAGGCCTCCTGCTGGGACTCAGGAGCACAGGGACTGGCCTCCTGCTAGGACTCAGAGGAGCACAGGGACAGGCCTCCTGCTAGGACTCAGAGGAGCACAGGGACTGGCCTCCTGCTAGGACTCAGAGGAGCACAGGGACAGGCCTCCTGCTGGGACTCAGGAGCACAGGGACTGGCCTCCTGCTGGGACTCAGGAGCACAGGGACAGGCCTCCTGCTGGGACTCAGGAGCACAGGGACAGGCCTCCTGCTGGGACTCAGGAGCACAGGGACTGGCCTCCTGCTGGGACTCAGGAGCACAGGGACAGGCCTCCTGCTGGGACTCAGGAGCACAGGGACTGGCCTCCTGCTGGGACTCAGAGTCAGGTCTAAACATGAGGAGGCAGCAATTCACATGTAAGCAACTAAACTAGGGCTGAAACAACTAATCGATTAATCGACGACTAATCGATTATTGAAATAGTCGTCAACTATTTTAGTAATCGATTAATCGTTTTCTGGTTCACACTGACTCAAACAGAGCAAAAATTACATGAAAATGTAGTATTTTTGATTAAAACCGACTTTGTTTTTATAATTTCATGAATATCTGTCTGTCTCATCCAATCAGAGCAGAATTAGCACAAAGAGCCTGTTACAAACATTTACTTTAAGTTTACGCCATCAATACTTCCTGGAGTGTTGCCACTATAGCTTTTTGTGATGAAAAAATATTTTTTTTCTACACAATTCACAGCCAAGCGATTACTCGATTAAATCGTAAAAATAATCGATAGTTGCAGCTCTAAACTAAACTATGAGACAGTCTCTTCACTATTGTTTATATATTTATTTCATTAAGCACTATGAGTTACCTTGTGTATGTAACAGCGCTCAACAATAAACTTGATCGCCTATGTAACAATTTCATTTTTAATTTTTTTTGTATGGACCAATTTTATCTTGAATCTGAAATAAAGATTAACAATAAATATCATATATTCTAATGAGATAATCGCTTTCTGCTGTATTCTTTCAAGTTTATTTTTGAGAGAGGCTTGTGGCCACTACGTCATCATAGACTCACTGCTTGAAGTCATCGGTCCAGGGCAGAGCCAGCCAGTCTCCGTGCATGTCGTGGTAATACTCCACCATATCCTCTGCAGACTTGTCAGACGAGATAAAAACTATCTCAAACTGCGCTGGAGGGTCGTGCTCCTCCACCAGCTCCGTGTAGAAGTCGCAGAGGATCGGGGTGAAGTCTCTGCAGGGGGGACACCAGCCTGCAGAGAAATAGATGCCCACCACCTTGTTCCTCAGCGCGTCCTCGGGATCCACAAAGTCCCCGTTTTTATTCAGAAGTGTGCGTCCTGCGAATACATCCACCATGATCCCGCCTTGTTTACTCAGTGTCCTCTCCCTCTCTCCCCGGAGCCGTGTTTAACGTGGGCCTGGAGTCATTGTCCAGCTCTGTCTCTGCACTTTCTGCTCCAAAGCCTCTCCGAGACTTGGATATCATCTTAAAAGCTACTTACGGCCAATCCTGTTAATCAGCCCTGGACCAATGAGCAGAGACAGGAGCGGGGTGTATGCTCCACAGACTGTAATGCTCTCATCTGACCACGTGAACTGCTGTGTGTGACAGGCCTGCACCGCGCATGCGCAGCCAGCAATACTCCTGTTATTATAATAGATCCATGAATATTCCCCATTCATGTTTTTTGGTGTCTGTTTTCATTCTTGTGTAATTTCATTTTTTTCATTTTTTTTCGAAGGGGCAGAATGTAATGTGCACACACACACACACACACACACACACACACACACACACACACACACACACAACACTTGACTTTGAAGAAATTATTTAATTTGATGTTTATGTCTTTTTAAATGGTGTACGTAAACTTCCAGTGTCCTCTGGACCTTTAATATTTCAGCAACACCAAGTTTGACCGGAAGTAGGGGACAATGCATTACATTAATAATAATAATAACTCCTGTAAACCCAAAATTTGCAATAAATTAAAGAATTTGAGGAAAAATATTTCATTTCGCAAATTACTAAGGTTTTTGGCGTCAACACAGCAGTAAAAAAAATAATCAACAGTTCAATACATAGTTCCCACAGACCAATGAATGTCACATGACCTTCTCGGAGACGCCATCTTTGATGGCACGCTGCTGTGTTTGTGCATTCCATTAAACAGAAGAATGAGAATAAATGTAGATATTCAAACGCAAATTGGAAAAAAAGGGCAACTTTTGAGCAAATAATTGTATATTAATACAATGGCACCACAGTTTAACGTGCTACGGACATGTTTTACATATTTGATCAAATTATGCAGCAAGAATTAACAAGCAATGCAAACATTTCTCAAAAACTTTAGATTTAATACCAGTTGGAGCTCCATTTAATTATTTTAATTATATTAACAATTAATTTAATTAATGCTAATGCCACACGGACACTCTGGATTGCTGTTATTGTTTATTTCCGCGTTTTTGACCGTATGTTTTGGTGAATGGTGGGCAACTGATTTTTCCAGGCGTAAAGAGCAGTTTATTTTATGACACAGATCTTTTTACAGAAGCAATGCTGTTTGTGAACATTGTTTTAGCCCACCATAGAACTATTATTATCTATTTAATACATTTACGTTGCCCTCGAGAGCCTCGGACGCGACACCGATCCTCCTCATAATAAAGTAATCTAAATAATGAAACTCTCAAGTTACCAGCTATCAGCATACACAAGTTAGTACTGAGTAAATTACGTCTGTCAACACATTATGAGATACGATACGCACCTGACACAAAGTGCTCCGAGCATATTCTTGCGTGTTTTGAGGGAGTTTCTTGCCTGTTTATCTTCGCAAGCCATAACCTCCGTGGTTGTTCTGACAAAAGCTTAGTCTTCTCACATTCATGAAGTCTAATGATGGGTATACTGTAAAATCCAAGTTTAACGGAACCTCCGGCACGATTTGAACATCCATTGACCCAGCAGGAGATGACCATTTTCAACTTTATCACGACATTAACACGTTTCAGCTTCTTTTTCTATTGTTTTGCCCACAGCATGCCAACACAAATGGCGCCGGGTCGGCAAATCCCCGTATGTAGTGACGTCATGTAGGAACTATGTATAAGTGACTGACAAGCCCTGGCGATCCAAGATGGCGCCCTATTCAAATGAATGGTTGTGCTCAGTGGCGCTTTGTGACAGCATGGGGGCTGAAAGATTAGCGGAAGTTGCCTGAAACTCGCAAAGATCTATGGGAAACTCGCCTGTATTTGGGCATCGTCTGGTCCTCCCGGTTCTGCGCAGTAGATGATCTCCCATAATGCGTTGCGCCAAACACGCGTGTGTGGGTCTCACACCGGGTCTCACGCACGTGCACAGAGGGTCTCACGCACGTGCACAGAGGGTCTCACGCACGTGCACAGAGGGGCTCGGCCGCGCTCTGACCAATCAGAGCAGTTCATCAGAGCGGGAGTTAGAGCGAGAGCCAGTCGAGCAGAGTTTGTGGCACTAAAGTGTGGATTTAAACAAAACCGAAGGATTTAAGAAGAAAAAAAGTTCAGGATGACAAGGGACACTAAAATCCCCACAAAATCCGACCTTTATGAAAGCTGTAGGTTCTCTGTCAGGTTCTCTGTCAGCTGAGGTCGAGCTGTTTTAATTTGCATTGAGTTCTATGGGGAAAATTTCTGGGTAGCCCACGTGAATTTAGTCTGGTTCAGTCTGCAGTACCGCGAGAATCCCCTGAGCACATGAGTTATTCAGCTACAAGCTAGTAATACCCTATCCAGTTATTATAATAGATCCATGGTGACTGATCACATTTTAAAATGTGGGGTTTTGTATCTCGCCTTTCTGCAGTAGTGTCACCCAGTGGCGTACGTGGGTATTACATGTTTGACAACTGTGTGGACAGAGATTTACTGCAGGGAATGCAATACATTTACGGATTATAAAATGCTTAAGTCCCACTATTATAAACGTTCAATGAAATTCAGTTATAGATTATTGAGGAAAAATTATGATGGCAAATGGACTGGTTAATTGAAAGCAGGTCAGGCTCACAGGGCCTTTCTGGTCACTCCAGGTTTTAGAAATATTTACAATAGATTGTTAATAATTGCTGTGATGAATGAATCTTATCAGAAAGATAACTCACCAATCAGGCGTGAGGCATTCATTTGGAATATGACCCCCTCTTTAGCCGAGACAATTCCATTTAAATAAAAATGTATTATTTGCATAGCCCTAAATCCCAACAGTAGTTCTCTCTGAGGACTTTACAAAGCTGTTGAGTCACCATCTTTGATTCGGGACAATGCATGTTAATAAACACTCATCTATTGATGGGACGTCCTCCTAAAGTCTGTAATTCAGAAACAGTGTAGATCCTGGACTCCGGACACAGGTCATAAAAATTCTCCGTTCCACCAATCAAGCATTCATAAAATCACTCGATACCATTATTCATCCCTGACAAACCGTTCCTCAGCCTTGTGTGCTCAGACTGTGTGTAGTTCTCCAGCAGAACCATGTGACGAGGCTGTGGTGGGCGGCAGTAGTTTGTATAATTTCCTCTGCTGCTGCTCCGAGTGGACACAGGTCACATGAAGCTGGTCTGCCGCAGGACTTCACTCTGGACCAAAAGTGGAAGTTCACAGCAACATGGCTTCCAACTCCAACATATCCAGCATGAGGCGCCTGGTGGAGCAGCTCAAGCTAGAGGCCAGTGTGGAGAGGATCAAGGTATTTGACCATTACTTATAATGTCCTTGTGTGTAAATTAGTCTCAAGAACATTTGTAAATCCTCTCAGAGCCAGAACCTGCACAGACATGGTACTGTTGAGCTGCAAAACCATGTGTGAAAGAAAGAAGCTAAAATAAGTGCAGACTCATAAAATTAGCACAGACATTTTGTTGTGTTATGTTGTGTTTGTGTTTTTTGTGTAATGTTTTAGAGTTGTGTTGTGGTACCTTATTGCAGCCATAAGTACAGTTCAATTCAATGTAATTCTTGTATGTCCCTAAATCACAACAGCAGTTATCGAAGGACAGTTAAAACACAATGCAATGATAAAAAACACTTTGGTCAATAAGGGGCAGACAGGGGCAACAGTAGTTATCAAAGGACTTAAAAAAATTGATAAAATACGTTGAATTGGCCAACATAAATCAGAGAAACACACAAAAATTCAATGACAAAAACACATATAATAATAAGGGGCAGAGCATGTAAACAATACATTAGAATTCATGCATCAGGACCAAGAACGCCTCATGTTTAAAAGTTTAATTCTTCCTTCATTGTGAGTAAAACCATTGTGTTACAGTGCAGCAGGGCGTATTCTAGTCACACATGGAAATCCAGCGTTTGTGAAACTGGGACACATATATCAGACATTTCCTATTGGTTGCCAGGTTTCTCAGGCGGCCGCCGAGCTGCAGCAGTACTGTTTGCAGAACGCGGGTAAAGACGCTTTGTTGGTGGGAGTCCCAACAGGCAGCAACCCCTTCAGAGAACCCCGCTCCTGCTCCATCGTGTGAGCTGCGTCTGCTGCTCAAGGTCAGAGTTTTTCCCAAGTTAAAAATATATTTCCATCTGGGTTCAGAGAAAGTTGACAGAGAACGTGTGTTTTTTTTTACAGAAAGACGATAATGATAGTGGAGTCTCTACTGTATGTTTGTTCTGAAAAGCGGCATCTGTCTGATTCTGTCCCTAAAACACACAATAAACCTGATATTTTTCTACTTTTTGTCTTCTTTGTAATGTTAAAAAGTCATAGAGCTGTTATCTAGACAGTGGAGTCTGTTCTGAGAAGGGGCATCTGTTAATTCTGTCTCTAAAACACACAATAAAACTGATATTTTTCTACTTTTCGTCCTCTTTGTGATGTTAAAAAGTCATAGAGCTGTTATCTTGGGACCATACAAAGCGGATGTTTGAGCCAGTCTCTAAACTGCTCCTTGCGATCTTACTGCATCCCGGCTTCCTGAGTTTGAAACACAAAGCTGAAGAGAGGAAACCGGCTCTTTCCTGTTTGAAACAACAATCAGCCGTGCATTTCTACTCTGCTCAGTGTTAAATACTCCAACTCACTACAATCACACACAAACATATGCATTACACTCAGACTCTCAGATGATGTGTGTACTGTGTGAGACGCTATGAGACATTTCAGCCAATTTCCCGTCTTTTTTCCCCCAAAGCCTCACCTGTTTGTTGGTTATTATTATGACAAAAAGAGGAAGATAAGAGATCCTTTTTTCGTCCCATAGAGGGGAAATTTCAATGTTGCAGCGCACATATAGGACAGTGGTAAGAGCACACAGGGAGCACACAAAATATACATTATAAGTAGCTGCTATGCTATGTGACTATCTCTCTATCTCCATCTCTCTATATCTATCTATCTATCTCTATCTCTATCTAGTATGTATCTATTACTGTCTATCTCTATATAGTATCTATCTCTATCTCTATCTCTATCTAGTATATATCTATCTCTGTCTGTCTCTGTCTATCTCTGTCTATCTCTCTGTATCTCTATCTCTAAATCTATCTCTATCTCTATCTAGTATATATCTACTGTATCTCTGTCTGTCTCTGTCTATCTCTGTCTATCTCTCTCTACCTCTCTCTATCTCTATCTCTAATCTATCTAACTCTATCTCTATCTAGTATATATCTATCTATCTCTGTCTGTCTCTGTCTATCTCTTTGTATCTCTCTCTATCTCTATCTCTAAATCTATCTACCTCTATCTCTTCACATACATAAATGAGGAGTATTGCTATAATATGAAATTCAAATGACAGATTTAACTATGCTAAATAAGCTACTTTCCAATCCCCTGGAAGTCAGCCTTATAAGGAGGGCTAAATGTTTATTCGGGACAAGAGCGATTACAGCTCATCAGTGTGAGATTTATGACTTGTGGCACTTTTACTTTAAGAGATTTGTTTTGGAACGGCCTAGATTTAGGAGTGAAAGTGCTCAGGCTGCAGCAGAGACTCATGCATGTGCCTCTGTCATTGTGTGTGTTGCTCAGTTCATCTCTGTCAGAACAGGGCATATCTGTGAGGAGTTTGCATGTTCTCCCAGTGTCTGTGTAGGTTTCCTCCAGGTGCTCCGGTTTCCCCTACCACTAAAAACATGCACAGTAGGCAAAACCTTCAGCTCTGACAGGAAGCTCAAGCGCAAATTCAGACTAGAAGACAGGAGAACTAGGCTCACAACACTCAAAGTCCTCCCACTGTTGCCCACAGCAACAGTAATCTGTCACTCACACTCAGCTGCAGCTCCACACGCAAATCCTCACCTGCGGCAATCAGCCACTGCCTGCATCAAGCTTCATAACGTGCTGAAGCTGCTAGCTCCATCCAAGTGGCAGCTTCATTCATGCAGCAACCCTCCTCCTCCCCGTCTCCGCCACGTTACAGGCCAGCTCTTTCATCCTTCTCTTTCCAGTGCTCTGCCGGGGTCTAAGCGCCAAATCCAAACCACATTCTGTACAGCACAATAAATGTAATCATGAAAATATTGTCCTCAGAGTCATATGTGTAATTTATGCAGTGTCAGATTACTGCCGAACAACATACAATTCTTTTACCCATGTTTTGTCTGAGTCTCTCCAGATTGAAACGTGGCATACCATCACTACATCAAAACATCCCCACATCTGCTTGTAAAATATATACAATTTATTTACAATTACCACCCCCTGACTCCCAGAGCAGGTTCCGTTCCCATTAACGATTGTCATTAACAATAGTGTGTTGCTATGGTAACTAGCACTTGCTCATACCAGGCCGGAAAATCAATCAATGAAAAAAATGTAAATGTATATGAAAATAAATTGAGTTAAAGATAGAAGTAGTGTCATATGGAGATGTCCTGCATCTCAACGAACGCTGTGTTCTGCCACAGGGAAGAAGCTGGAACTTGGCTTTTCCAGGGGCCAGAGGATTATTGATTATTATAAGAGATGGATAAGAGTCTGGATTTATAAAAAAAAAACCTACAGAACAAGCAAACCACAGTCTCTCTTGTCTCTTTTTTCCTCTCTCTGGTCTCTCTATTTCTGGTCTCTCTCTGGTCTCTTTCTCTGGTCTCTAGATCTCTCTCTAGTCTCTCTCTGATCTCTCTCGGGTCTCTCTCTCTGGTCTCTCTCAGGTCTCTCTCTCTGGTCTCTCTCTTTGGTCTTTCTCAGGTCTCTTTCTCTGGTCTCTCTCTTTCTGGTCTCTGTTTCTGGTCTCTCTCTCTAGTCTCTCTCTGATCTCTCTCGGGTCTCTCCCTGGTCTCTCTCTCTGGTCTCTCTCAGATCTCTCTCTCTGGTCTCTCTCTTTCTGGTCTTTCTGTTTCTGGTCTCTCTCTCTTTCTGGTCTCTCTCTCTGGTCTCTCTCTTTGGTCTTTCTCAGGTCTCTTTCTCTGGTCTCTCTTTCTGGTCTCTCTCTCTGGTCTCTCTCTTTCTGGTCTCTCTCTCTGGTCTCTCTCTTTCTGGTCTCTCTCTCTGGTCTCTCTCTCTGGTCTCTAGATCTCTCTCTAGTCTCTCTCTGATCTCTCTCAGGTCTCTCCCTGGTCTCTCTCTCTGGTCTCTCTCTTTCTGGTCTCTCTCTTTCTGGTTTGTCTCTCGGGTCTCTCTTTTTGGTCTTTCTCAGGTCTCTCTCTGGTCTCTCTCTGGTCTCTCTCTCTCTGGTCTCTTTCTCTGGTCTCTTTCTCTGGTCTCTCTCTAGTCTCTCTCTGATCTCCCTCTGGTTTCTCTCTGGTCTCCCTCTGATCTCTCTCAGATCTCTCTCAGGTCTCTCTCTGGTCTCTCTCTCTCTGGCCCCTCTTTTCCTTCTTGCTTAACTGTCTATGACTTCAGAGACAGTGTTTTCATTTTCGTACCAGATAAAAAACATCGTGTTGTCTTCATTCATCCAGAGGTGAAGGTGGGACCTGCTTTTCACACTCCTCCATTTGTAGTGAGAACACAACCAGGGTCATGTGTGGACATATACACATGTTTCTATCAAAATAATCCACTTATCTCAGTTCTCCTAATGGATTCTGCATCTCCAGCCTCAGAAAGACCTGCCCTTCAGCGGACGGGTGAGGCCTCTTCACTCTGAATGGACTGAATTCAAACCTCAGTGATCGATGGCAAAAAAAAACCTTTGTAAAGTCCTATCTTATCTAGTTTTTGAGATAATAACAATTATTTTACAGTCAATCGTTACAATTTTCTTAGTGCTGGTTCGTGCAAAAATGTTTTGCTTATAATAAAAGAGTAAAACACTTTAAAGTTTATATCGTGTTTGTTTGTTGTTGATTATAGTTTGTTGATTGTTTCCAACTACATTCTGAACCAAACCCATACATAGACAAAATCATTCTTTCTTTTGGACCGATCAATCACCCTGGTCCCTTTGTAGAAAAACAGCCCCAAAAGATGATGTTTCCACCCCCATGCTTCACTGTAGATATGATGGTCTTTGGATGCAGTGCCAGACATGTGAAAACTACTCATGGTATCAAACGTTTTTAGAACTAGGAATTTTATATTGCTACATGTTCTGTGGTTTAGAAAGTTTTTAGGAACCCCGACTAAAACAGGGGTGTTCCAATTACTTTGAGATCACACTCCTCAGCCTCCTCTGCAAGACCAGCTCCACCCTGCACTGGGCTTGGGTTGAAAGGTTTGGTTTTTTTGATGTAGAGTTTACAGTGACTGAGGCGACAGTGGCTCAGTTGGTAAAGCATCGGTCTTTTGATTCCCCCACAAGACCTCCTCAAACTACTCCCACTGAGTACACACACTCAACCTTGAAGCTGACTAAAGCAATAAAGGAGGATCAGTGAGGTATCTCTGACTAACACCCTCTTGTGCCAGAAATGGGGAAGAAAGTAGATAGATGGAATGAGGAATCCTGACTGTAGAATGTGATATGGTGGAGGGCTCTCGATACGGGGCTGAAAGACACGTCTATTCAGCAGAGAAGACCTTGGGAATAACTCCAGGCAGTGTGGGACCAAAACAAACATTTACACTGGGCTCCTTCCCTCTGGAGTCTGAGTCCCTGAACAAAGAGATTTTTGACACCTCTGCAGCACTTTTATGGTGGGATAAAGGTTTCCGAACCAGAGAACACACTTCCTAGTAAATTTATTCAGTTTCCCACAGGTTATATCATATTATATCATTATATCATGATATAGATATCATGTCTTGGAGAGAGGCCAGAGGCTTAGTTGGAAGTGATCTCATCGCCCGTTGGAGACCACATGTTCTGGTTTTACAGCCTTGTAGTCGTAAAACGTGGCAAAAAGGCCACGTTTTATATATATATATATATATATATATATCAGACATGTATATACTTTTACAGAACATACTAGAATATATTTATTTGCACTACAATATACAGTACACTACAATATTTATAACTTAAACTGCAAAAAAAATGAAAAAATATAAGGTTGCTCAATTGCTTGAATTGAGTGGTTTTTATCTTTCTATCTCTATTGATTTAAAAACAGATTCTCCAACGGGACAAAGCCGTTTAGTCTTAGTTTTTTTCTTATTCCAAGAGTGACATTTCTTGTATCTTTTTTAACACAAGATAATTTCGCTTTGTCCCGTTGACAAATCTTGTTTTGTGTCAGAATGTGCAAGATACACAATTTGAGCAATTTGACTTATTTTTCATTACTTTTTGCAGATACGTTTTAATTAAACTTGTTTCTTTATTACGATAAAGATGGAGATTGTATAGAGCTGTGCTCTACCAAATATTCACTTATTGTGTTCTTGACTGTTCTGCAGCTTGTGATACAACTCTGTGGGACGAATTAAGGATCTCTTCTAAATATCTAAGGGCAGATTTATCTCCTAATCTTAAAGAGTCAGATTCAGTTAGTTTGCCATTTGCAGTAAAACCACTGTGAAATACATGTACATAGATAAACAAGCTAAAAGAAAGAATTGTCACTGTGAAATCGATCGATCAAAACAGTTTCAACATAAGTGCTTTGTTTAACCTGACATCGGCTTGTGGAAAGAAGCGTAAATTGTTGTAGTATTATTATTATAGCATTTGTCATCACAACTACTACTGTTTTTTTTTTCTTTTTTCAAAGAGAAACTCCCAGACACACACAAGATGTCACCACAACTACTATGAGACGTGAGTGCTGGTCCTGGTCTATGAAATGTGTAACAGAAAGAGAGTTTATGTACTTATTTATTCAAGAAGTGAAAAAATATAGCCATAACAGATAGATGTTAAGTTCCCCTTTAAAATATAGATATTAAATGAGATCATTGGTGCAGTACTTATAGACAGACTACAGGTTGCATTCTGTCTTGCCATAGGAGGAGTTTTCTCTCTGAGGTGTGGGCGGGGACTGGAGGGCAGGCGTTGGGTTTCAGTCCCAGTCTTTTTCTATTCTCCAACTCCCAGAACTTGCAGAGCTCTGGTTGCTGCAGCAGAGCGGATAATGCGTCACACCTGTTGACTCTGGGCTACTCTGGCCAAAACCAAACGGACGAATGGACGTTGATCTGGGAAGAGAAGAGGACTGTCTCGAACCCCTTTATCCTCTGTGAAGGATCCTGAACTTTAATGTCTAAATGAGTGCGTCAGAGAAGTGGGGAGATGGCCAAAGTTTACACGCTGTATGTGGGTGTGTTGGCAGGTAAGGCATCATCAATGGGAGCTATTTTTAGTGCAGTTGTGTGGGTTAATCTTTAGACAGTTTCATATGTGTCTGAAAAAGGATCAGACCTGTAATTGTTAAAGCTGTTTCAGTCCATTCAGACCAGTTCTACAGCCCATTGAATTTCCAAATGTTGTGTGTGTGTGTGTGTTTTAGATGAGTTTTGATTTGTTGTTTGAAATACAGAGGTAGCATAGACTCAGTGGAGAATGCAAAACCTGCTGAATTTCCCACTGTATGTGTATTTCAGCATTTAATTCAGTTCAATTCAATGTATTTTTGTGTACACTGGAAAAAATAAGAACAAAAAAATTAAAAATATCTGATAACGGAACAAGAAAATATGACTTGACAAGATTTCTGAAAATAATACTTGCCCCAAATGACTTGATTCTAGCATAAAAACATGCAATTATTTACTTAATTCTTAACATTTTTTGAGAAATGCTTCCTTAAAATAATGCAGAACATACTTATTTTATCTAAACACGAAAGGTTGTGTGGAAAAAAGAAAGAGATGAATTAAAACAAGATTAAAAACTCACTGCTCAGACTTTTTTCTAAATAAATCTCACCAAGATTTTACTTTTTTCAGTGTAGCCCTAATTAACAACAGCAGTTATCTGGGAGTACTTTACAAAAGCATTAAATTACCCAACACAAATTAGAGAATCAACCCATTCAGAGCCATTGGTCCATAAGCGACAGATCAATGACCAATGTCCATAAATGTCGTTGTACGTACCGTTGGCTAATCCGAATTTTTCTCGTTCTTTTCTCATTCTGGCGCAGGTTTGGTCTTATACTCTGAGGCTGGCTGGAACACAACACAAGAGCCTTCTGCTAATGTAACCGAGTGTCATCATCAGAGCAATGGAGGCAACTGCACAGGTGAATCCAGGAGGGAGGAAACCGTAAATAGTGTTCTAAACGGCAGATTTTAAAGATTTACTGTGGTTAATGAAGACAGGCTAGTTTCGGGTCATTGAGTAACTTTATGTAATCAGGGCCCTATCCAATAAGCAGATTTGTATTGGATTTGATTTGAACCACAATGAGACCGAAAATCTGTCCGAAAATCCAGTCTATTCAGGATAGGTGGACCTTATGTCTGATTACTTTCATTTCAAAAGTATGGGCTGGAGACAGGCAAGCAGATGCATTTAAGAGCACAGGGATTAGAAATGTTGGTTTTGGATAAAGGCTACCTACTCGTATTGATTATTGCGTTAAAGCAGCCATTTCTCCATGTGTTTCATTGTGATGTTTAGTTTTAGTTTGGTTTTGGGTTTGTTTTTTTGACTTTTGTTTTTGACTTGGGCTGCTGTTGTTGAGCCTGTACGAAAATCTAATATTGCAAGACTAAAGTGCAAATGGCGTGTATATTTAGCAGTTCGAGCTACAGTAGCATGACAGCTCCAAAGTTTGAGCTAAAGTGGTGTTATGAGACTCGACTCGCTTCAATTTATTTATGTATAGCCCGAAATCACAACAGTAGTAATCTCAGAGGACTTTACAAAAATGTTGAACTTGCCAACACGGATCAGAGAGACGACTTTGAAAGCATCACAAAGCCCTCCGTTTAATCGGCTCCAGCGTCTGCATGTAGACTGGGACCAGAGGAGTCGGACCAGTTTGGAGGCAACGACAAACTGAAGTTAGTTTTTCCAGCTTAACATGTAGTCTATAGTTCCATGTAATAGTAGTTCCTGATCGTCAGACTATGGCCTTGGGGGAGAAATATTGCCTGGCCCTCATGCTAGCAGGTGAACAAACCCAATTGCTGTTGATGAGAACTTTTAAGAACAAAAGTATAAAATCTTTACTATCACCGTCTTCTGTTTCAGTGAGTGGCTTGTTAACCTTTTATATGAACTTTGCAAAGTAATGTGTTACTCTTAAAAACACTTAAAGTGCATACATCGGTGTGATCACTCTCTATAGGTCCAAAGGTACTGACAACACCTGTGTGTGTGTGTGTGTGTGTTCTGCTTTGTGTTTATCTTCTGACCGCAGATGTGTGTTATATTGTACATATGTGCTAGTGTTTTGCTAACAACCTATACATGGTGTGTTCTTTTTCTTACCTGCAGACAATGGCTGTAAATTAGCCTAAAGCTAACTCCGGTACAATGCATTAAATGGACAAATGTATGTTCTAATCGGCATGGCCCCTTTTAAAATTAATAAGTAAAATACGCCTGATGAGATGTGTTATGGCAATCCCACCTCTGCTACACCGGTTATTTCATTCTTCTTATGCTATACCTGCACATGGCGCTTTACGTCATGCTAAAGCAGTAGGTTGAAATTGCTTGGACGTCCCTGGCTTCAAGTGCTCATAACGAAGTCTGACTGCTACACCCATCAAATGACTCACATCTCCTGTTTTAATAATCCTGATAATTACTGTATTTGGCCCAATAACTGCATGCCAGTTGTCCGACAAGATTCCACTGAAATAGAACGTGAAATATTACCATTCAGTAGGGAGATGGATACATTTCAGGGCATATTCAAAGTTTCTATGGAGATCCCTTTATTAAATGCTGTACAAACATCTGAAGCTAAAAAGACTACAACAAATTACAACAATACTCCATGGTGTGGCTTTAGGAAATGAATGAGCTTTTGTCAGACTTTCCTAAATACCTTCTTTTGGACCTTGTTTGTAAAACCTGAAACTGGATCACTCACGTCAAAGGCTTTACGAATTACAACAATACCAGATCTCCGGTTTCACTTGTCTCTCAGAGCGCTCTCTTCAATGGGAATGTATACTTTTTACAAGCCCAGATGAACTTGCTGCTAGTGGGTCATAAAGATTGTCGGACTCATTGAGGCCTGGTCATGGATCATTTCTTGGAAAAATACGTTATATGCACCAACTACTACCATTTTCCAACCTTATTTTAATGGAAAATGGTCATCAAGACTGAAGGACTCATGGATAATTCCTTGGAAAATACTTATTATCCAACAACCATTTACTGACGCCATTGTATTTGCAAATGGTGAATCTTTTTCTTATTTCTTGGCTCAATTCACGGCTTTAATTCTTGGTAATGTTGTGATACAGAGACGAGCAGAAGATGACTCAAAATGACACTATAGTAACTGTTATTTAGACAAGGGCTTTTCCGGAAACTGAATCACCAGATCTACATGTATCACATTTCACTGGTCTATTTATACATGAGGTCATACAAGCTGCTGAGGGAGAAGGACCAAGTGGACACACACTTCAATTACTCTAGTCTCATGCGGAGTGAGGGCCCTGTCCAATGATCGGACAACACAAGACTTTGGTTAGGGCCACGAAGCTTTAAGAGAGGCCCCAGCAAAACAATGAATGATAAACGCAAATGTTAGTCAGTCAAGGTCCGTCTGGTCTTCTGACTCATTCAAGGCTGGGGTGTTTTTTGGTACAAGAAGAAACCACTCTGGTCTCAAGACAAGAATCAACGTGTAGGATGACACATGTTGTGTGTGACTTTAAATTTGCTCAAAAACAACAATAAAAAGTAAAGTAAAGTAAAGTAGAGTAGTATTTTTAATGTTTTTAATGTTGAGTCCTTCCTGGCCGATGCAGGAGGGTCTAAAGGCCGTGATCCAAGACATTTAGGGACATTTTATGATGTATGGACCAATGGCTCTTATGTTATCATTGCATTTCCTTTGTTCAAACAGTTTGATTCTCTGATCAGTTGTTGGCAAATTTCAGTTTTTAAAGTCCTCCAAGATGACTGCTGTTGTCATTTAGGGCGATACAACAATAATCACATTGAAAGGAATTGCGTTCAAGTGACAGTGAAGTGGCTCCTAAGGCGAGATTTGCTCAGTACCTCAGGACCCTGTAGTACGGTATACTTGGCTGTGAATTCTAAATACTTGTTCTATCCATAAACAGATCAGTGGACCGGTCATTTCTTGTCGTGTCCTGAACAACTCACTTACTACTGCATCCACGGAGAGTGTCGTTACATCAAAGAAATGGATCTGGCATCGTGCAGGTAACGTCAGTCTGTTTAAGCCATTGTGGATCCAAACTAATGATGTATCCTTGGATTTCTCCCCATGTGCTGCACAGGTGCCATTATGGTTTTTACGGCTCCAGATGTGAGTTTCTGGACTTCGATGCGCACAAAATGGGAAAGCGAGAAATCATCATCGTCGTCTGTGCAGTGGTGGGATTGGTGCTCCTCATTGTTTTAGTCGTCTTCATTTGTCTCTTTACATTGTAAGTACCATCGGATAGTTCTGTCTTCTTGGTCGAAATGAATGGTATTTGGTTCTACTATGCTAGACTGTAGTAAGTTAAGTTAGCAATATTATTACCTTTACTTGTTCAGAAGAAGATTGAAGTATACCCAGGGGTGACAGTGGCTCAGTTGGTAGAGAATTCGGGCGTTCTGCTCTCCCAAAATTTCATCCACTGAGCGGCGCTGTGATCAAAAAATGACACCGTTTGTTGCCCAGTTCACTTCCGGTTGATTTCATACAATGGCGAATATGGCTCACGAAAACAACAAACGATTGACAGTGCCTGAATTGCGTGAAAGGTTGAAGCGAAAGGGTATTTGCAGTGTGGGAAAACTAAAGGAGGAATTGTTGTTGCTAGTTCAACGAGCGGATGGTGTTTATGAAGATTTAGAAGAAGATGACAGCGAGCAGAGTGAACGAAAACGGCTGTGTGTGCGAGTGACAGATGGTAACAATGAGAATGAAGTTCAGCTAAGAGGGAAGAATGTGAATTGGACGGATGATTTGCGCGATATGCCACTAGTTAAGAGACGGGAATGTATTTGCATACAGAAAATGACGAAAACACTCAACCATTTAGAGAAAATGCGCCGGGCAGAGAGAACCGGAAGTTGCGAAGGCAAGTGTTACCCATAATGCAACGCAAAATTCAGTCGCTCCCCCGCCCATCGGATGGAATTTTGGGAGAGCAGAACGCCCGAATTGGCCTTTGGTAAGTTCGATCCCACTTCAGTCCTGGTTTCTTCTCCAGTCCTGGGACCTTCTCCACCGACTCCCACTGATGACTGCTATCGTTGTGTCCTTGGGCAAGATCAAGGCTATGCTATAGAGCGGTCATCCTCCTGTGGACTCACCATCTGCAGGAGGATCAGTGAGGGGCTGGTGCTCTGTGTACTGGGTGGCATCTCTGGCTACCCTCCGACCACCCCCCAGAAATGGATTAGGGGTAGAAAATGGATGAAGTATACTGTCCAAAACATGTCCTGGTATTAATAATAATACACTCAAAGACGCTTTAGAAAACATCAACAACAACAAAACATGAAGAACAAGATTTAGGAAAGGCAAGCTGGGACAGGTGGGTTTTGAGAAGTGATTTAAAGTTCTGTAGTGAGTGGGAGTTTCTGAGGAGTTCTGGGAGTGAGTTCCAAAGAGTGGGTAAGTAAGTAGTAAGTAATCTTTATTTATATACCGCCTTTTCACTGCACATCGGAGTCTCAAAGCGGTTTACAATTGTTATTTTTGGGAGTGGGGGTGCCAGTACAGGAGGCACATGCCAGACCTATTGTACATATTTTTAGTGGTAGGGGAAACCGGAGCACCCGGAGGAAACCTACGCAGACACGGGGAGAACATGCAAACTCCACTCAGAAAGGCCCTGGTCCAACCGGGATTTGAACCCAGGACCTTCTTGCTGAGAGGCGAGAGTGCTATCCACTCAGCCACCGTGCCGCCCTGCAGTGGGGGCAGCTGCAGCGAAGGCTCAGAAGGCTCGGTCCTCAGGGTTCAGAAGGCTCGGTCCCTCAGGGTTCAGAAGGCTCGGTCCTCAGGGTTCAGAAGGCTCGGTCCTCAGGGTTCAGAAGGCTCGGTCCCTCAGGGTTCAGAAGGCTCGGTCCCTCAGGGTTCAGAAGGCTCGGTCCTCAGGGTTCAGAAGGCTCGGTCCTCAGGGTTCAGAAGGCTCGGTCCTCAGGGTTCAGAAGGCTCGGTCCCTCAGGGTTCAGAAGGCTCGGTCCTCAGGGTTCAGAAGGCTCGGTCCCTCAGGGTTCAGAAGGCTCGGTCGTCAGGGTTCAGAAGGCTCGAAAATGGAGAGACTTGTACAGTAGGTGAGGAGGACGACCCTTTATTGGATGCGGTTTGGAACAGGAAGCCGGTGGGGTTGTTTGAAATTAAAGGTAGTAAGTAAGTAATGGTTATTTATATAGCACCTTTCACAGACCAGCGTCACAAAGGGCTTTACAATTGTGGGCCTTTATCCTCTCACTCGACACAGAGATGGGAGCGGGGTCGACAGTACAGGAGGCACATACCAGACCTATTGTACATGTGTTTAGTGGTAGGGGAATCCGGAGCACCAAGAGGAAACCTAAGCAGACATGGGGAGAACATGCAAACGCCACACAGAAAGGTCTGGAGGTGGAATCGAACCCTGGGAAGCAAGTTGGTAACCTCGCTATCTTACTATTTTCTGGTATAGAAGAACCAAATACCTTCAAAGAACCACTTGAATTTGAAATACAGTGTTAGAATAAATACTGTTAACTGTGTTTTTTGCGTTTACAGTCGGAAAGGAAGACGTAGAGAGGAGCGAAGAAACGGCAACAAGCTGGACGTTAACTCGACGTTAATTGCTGTTTCGACAGAAGAGCCACATAAAGACGACTCTGTGTGAGCTGCAGATTCGGGCTCTCTCTTTTGGGAGTCGTGGCCCACAGAGGAATGTGTTTGTACTCCGAGCAGCTGCTGCCAACTACAACAACTGCAATACTCCAGCCAGAGCCCAGGCCCAAACCGTTTGACAGTTGCCCTTTGCAAAGAGACGCAGCCAAGAAGGAATATCTCTGCTTTTTTGGAACGGAAAAACTTGTCTGATCTGCAGAAGAGGAAAGCTTTGCATCAAGTTTATGAACGATGTCTGTCTGCGGGTGTCTTCCTTCAGTAGATGCAGTGAGACTTATAGAACGACAAGTTGACAAGAAACATGATTTTTCCGTTAGTGGTGGACGGTAAGAACTGATGGAAATGTGGAAGAACCCAGAGGAGAGAACACACTCGTGCAAAATTCTGACGGAGGCAAACAACACATCAACATTGGTCACATGTAGAGCTAAGATCTGCAAAAGCCCTGTTTCCACCAACTGTGCCCTACTTGGTTCTACTCTGCTCTACGCTACTTGGCTCTGCTCTACTCTACTCTGCTCTATGCTACTTGGCTCTACTCTACTTGGCTCTACGCTACCCTACTCTACTCTGCTCTGCTCTGCTTTACTCTCTACTCTACTCTGCTCTACTCTACTGTACTCTACTTGGCTCTACGCTACCCTACTCTACTCTGCTCTACGCTACTTGACTCTACTCTACTCTACTCTACTTGACTCTGCCCTGCTATAGTCTATTCTACTTGGCTCTACACTGCTCTGCTCTACTCTACTCTACTTGGCTCTGCTCTTCTCTACTCTACTGTACTTGACTCTACTCTACTCTACTCTACTCTACTCCAGCTGTTTGCATTTCCATTACTATTTAGTATCTGGTACTGTGTTCTTGCAACCTACCCACAACAAACCAGTATCCTGGAACATGTTCTTGGTACCAGCAGCTCTCTGCTAGTAACACGTTAGGTAGAACCAGGATCCAGCAGGTACTAAAAAAGTAGAGTAGAAATGAGGCTAAAGAGATGATTAATTACAATGTTACTTGTTTTCAAAAGTAATTCTCACAGATATAACACAATGGACTCTAAGAAACGTGATCCTCTTGTTCAAAGCTATTTTTTTTTTAACACTGCAAAAACTGATACAAAGTCTACATTTATCTTAAGTGACGAAACAAAATCTCACTTGGAAAACTCAAACATTGCTACTACAATATAAATACCAAATGTCCTTTCGGCCAATCTCTCACTTTCTTCCTTTCACATTATTATTTGATTAGTTTTTGCAGTTTGTGTGTTTCTTTTGGATCGTTTTACAGCTTTAAGATCATGAGACATTCCAACTCTATGACCAGACCTGTTCATCTGGACCGCAACAATAGTATTTATTATTTATTTATTTTATGGATGAAGGTGTGGTATGTTTGTGTAATGTATTTGGCTCACACAGAAGTGACTCATGAAAATAAACTGTTAGAGGTTGAATTTTAAGTATAAGAGTATTTGCTTCTGTTAATTTTTGCCTTGGTGTGTGGCTGGGGAGGTATGGGTGTCTGCTTAGACTGCTGCCCCCGCGAACCGGCAACGGGAGAAGCGGAAGAAAATGCATGGATGAATGTACGGCTTCTGTTCATTTTGTTTCTGTCAAATTCAAAAAACTCTTAATTTGAACCAAGGTTGTTCCTCCACCGCTTACACACCGTAGTTTTTGATGCACATTTAAGATTGAGATTCGTTATTTGTCCCACAGTGGGGAAATTTCAGTGTTGCATCACATGTTACGGGAGGAGGCCCCAGGGAAGACCCAGGACACGCTGAAGGGATGTCTCTCAGCTGGCCTGGGAACGCCTTGAGGTCCCCTCGGACAAGCTTGAGGAAGTGTGTGTGGACAGGGATGTCTGGGAGTCTCTGCTTAGACTGCTGCCCCCGCGACCCGGCAACAGATGAAGCGGAAGAAAATGGATGGATGGATCACAAGTTACAGAACAGGAATGAGGAGCACACAGCACAAGATAAAATAGCCATAACTCTATACTAAAATACAATAAAAGCTCTAGCTTTAGCATTATTTAGGAAGAATTATACAAATATTATAGCAGTGTGATCCTTGGGCCTCTGTATTTTGTCCGGTGGGATCAGTCCTGGGCCAAATATTTCTGATCGGTTTCAGTCAAGTGGCAATTTCTGACCTAAATATAAAATAACCTGCTTCATTGTTTAAAATCACTTTCAAAATGCTGGGAAAATTGACCCATGGGAAAGACTTATTTTTGAAAGATTATTGAGATAAATTAGTAATGTGTTTTTAATCTATATATCTGTTTGTCATGTCATAATTATTGTTAGCTTTGTCTCTTGTTTACACAGTGGTTGCTGAGTAACCTCGAGGTCAATCCAGGAATTTATATTATAGCCATTTTGGACTTTGGACCAAAATAACCAGCCAAGTTTAGAAGTTTTAAGAGCATTCTGCAGCTTTTTATGTGTAAAAAAAGTAGTTGCATATTTGACAAATACTGTATATAGATGGACAATGCTAACATGCTAGCTCATTGAAGCCAAAGTTTTGCTCCAACTCGCTTTGGTTCCATTAACTTGTACTGAAAAAAACTCCTCTCACTCAGTAATTGTTTGTGTCATAAAATCCATAGTTTAGTGCTCTCTATGATACTGGTGTTTATTCATTCATTCCTTTTCTACCCCTTTATTAGTCCATTTCTGGGTGGGGAGGGATGGCAGCCAATCAGAGCTGCCATCCAATGCTCATAGCACTTGTCTCTGGTGTTAATATTATTATTTGTTTTATTTATTGAGAATTGATCAATCTTGATCAAAAGCTCCAGCGACAAATAAAGCAAAACCGATGCTAATTAGTGAATGATTTATGGTTAATTAGCTTTTAATTGGTATTTATTAAGCACTTATTAGTCCTTATTTTACATGGCCTTATTCAATATCTATCTAGTAACTGACACATCCTCATGTTGGTCAGGGCTAGAGTTAGGACTAGAATCAGAATCAGAATCATTTATATTGCCATGTAAGGGTACACTATTTTTTTTTGTATCCTATTTTTTATTAATTTAATTATTTTAGTTTTTATTCTATTTTATATTTATTGTATTTATTTTAAACATTTAATTTATTTTTATTTTTTAATTTAATTTAATGTATAATTTTTTTATTTATTATTATTGTTTCTATTGTTTATTTTTTTATTTATTCAATTTTGGTATTATTTCACTTTATTTTACTTTATTTTTTATTATTTTTTATTATTCATTTTATTTTTTATTTTTTATTTTCATGTATTTGTTTTTTTTCTATTTTTTGTTATTTCCCTTTATTTTATTTTATTTTATTTTTTGTTATTTCACTCTAATTTATTTTACTTTACTTTTTAAATTTAATTTAATTTAACTTTATTAATATGGACATAACAATCGGACGAACCAGATGCATCTTAAACACAGTTTGAGCTCTTCTTCTGCTGAAGACGGTCATGTGAGTCTGTAGTTTTAGCCCAATGAGGAGAGAGTTCCACAGCTTTACCCTGAAGGAGAAACTGGATTTTCCAAAAGATGTTGAGGCTGGTGATATTAGCATTTAATTATCTGTTAATCAGTAAGGTCTAATCTAAAACTAATCTAAAGTTGTCAGAAAATCAGTGAAGCGGCATTATAAGTGTCTTTATCTGCTCCTGAATTCTCCGCGTTCCTCTCGGTAAATGTGTGATGGTTTTATGTGCGAGGGGCGGCTGTCTTCAAAGGGGCGCTGCGTGTCCATGGGTGTGTCTGTTTGATAACCGCTGTCAGATACCAAAGGGCAGTGCTGCAATTTGAAAACGGCATTTGTAGAAAACGGTTGATCAGTAATCCACCGGTACTCGAAAACAAGTTTCAGTATTCCATCGGGCAAAAGTCCTACATTTACTCTTCAGGACTTTTGTTTTGCTAACTTTAAATGATCCATGGTGTTTGTCCCAACTATAGCCAAATGTTGAGAAAAAATCAGACACAACATAATAACAAGATAAAATCAGAATCAGAATCATTTTTATTGCCACGTAAGTAACAGGAGGTCACAGACTTGGAAATTGCTTTGGCTCAGTGCAACAGTCAGAAAGAGATAATAAAAATAAGAATAAAAAACACTTCTAAAGAATAAATTTAAATTTAAAATAGAGTAACAGTTACTATTTACAATATGCAAGTGCACATGGTGCACACAATGTAAGGTGACAGCAGTACAGTGAAGTAAAGTGACGTATGATGGGCAGTAAAGTGACTTTATAAAGGGCGGGGGGACAGGTTAAGAAGTGTTCAAGAGTCCAACAGCAGAGGGGAAGAAACTGTTCTTGTGGCGGGAGGTTCTAGTCCTGATGGACCGCAGTCTCCTGCCTGAGGGGAGTGGTTGGAATAGTCCATGTGCAGGGTGAGAGGGGTCGGCTGTGATACAACCAGCCCGGCCTCGAGCTCGGGCGACGTACAGGTCCTGCAGCGATGGAAGGCTGCGGCCGATCACTTCCTCTGCAGAGCGCACAATGCGCTGTAGTCTCTGTTTGTCCCTGACTGTGGCTCCAGCGAACCACACGGTGATGGAGGAGGTGACGGAGGAGGTGAGGATGGACTCGATGATGGCCGTGTAGAACTGCACCAACATCTGTGCAGGCAGCTTGGCTTTCCTGAGCTGCCGCAGGAAGTACATCCTCTGCTGGGCCTTCTTGATGAGGGAGCTGATGGTCGGCTCCCACTTGAGGTCCTGGGTGATGGTGGTGCCCAGGAAACGGAAGGACTCCACAGAGGTGATGGGGGAGTCCATCACGGAGGGTGGGGGCAGGGGGACAGTGCTCTTCCTGAAGTCCACAATCATCTCCACTGTCTTCTGGGCGTTCAGCTCCAGGTTGTTACCACTGCACCAGGACACCAGCCGGTCCACCTCCCTCCTGTAGGCGGACTCATCGTTGTTGGAGATGAGTCCAATGAGGGTGGTGTCGTCCGCGAACTTGATCAGCTTCACGGAGTCGTGGCTGGAGGTGCAGTGGTTGGTGTACAGGGAGAAGAGCAGGGGAGAAAGAACACAGCCCTGTGGGGCACCTGTATTTATAATCCGAGAGTCCGAGACATTCTTCCCCAGACGCACTCGCTGCTTCCAGTCCGTCAGGAAGTCAGTGATCCACCTGCAGGTGGAATCGGGCACGTTGAGCTGGGAGAGCTTGTCCTGGAGCAGGGATGGCAGGATGGTAATGAAGGCAGAGCTGAAGTCCACAAACTGGACCCTGGCGTAGGTCCCCGGGGAGTCCAGGTGCTGTAGGATGTGGTGGAGGGCCAGGTTAATGGCGTCGTCTACAGATTTGTTGGCTCTGTAGGGGAACTGCAGGGGGTCCAGGAGGGGGCAGGTGAGGGACTTGAGATGGGAGAGAACCAGGCGTTCAAATGACTTCATGACGACAGACGTAAGTGCTACAGGTCTGTAGTCATTGAGTCCTGTGATCCTGGGCTTCTTCGGGACGGGGACAATGATGGAGGATTTGAAGCAGGCCGGGACATGGCAGGACTGCAGAGAGGTGTTGAAAATGTCCGTGAACACAGGAGTAAGCTCACAGGCGCAGTATCTCAGAGTGGCCGGAGACACGTGGTCCGGGCCAGGAGCTTTGCGGGGGTGCAGCCTCAGGAAGAGTTGTTTAATCTCTTTAGCGGCTATTGTTTGGCTGGGGGCAGGGCTGATGGGTGGGTCGTTAGAGTAGTGGGGGGTGGGGGAGGGAGAGGTGTCAGGGGCAGCATCAAAGCGACTGAAAAATAAGTTCAGATCGTCAGCTAGCTTGTGGTCATCAGCACAGGGGGGGGCTTTGGGTTTGTAGTTGGTGATCTCCCGTAGGCCCCTCCAGACAGAAGCAGTATCGTTGTTACTAAAATGCTTCAGTTGTTGCACAGCGAAACAGATTTTTTTTAACCTGGATTTGAAGATTATGTTATTAGAAGAAGCTTGTCTCACATTTTCAGGAAGACTTTTCTAAATTTGAGCTGCATATGAAATTCTGCCCCCCCATGTTTAGTCCTGACTCTGAGTCCCAGCAGGAGGCCAGTCCCTGTGCTTCTCTCCTCAGCGTCCCAGCACGAGGCCAGTCCCTGTGCTCCTCTCCTCAGAGTCCCAGCAGGAGGCCAGTCCCTGTGCTCCTCAGAGTCCCAGCAGGAGGCCAGTCCCTGTGCTCCTCAGAGTCCCAGCAGGAGGCCAGTCCATCTGGCGGTCTCTCTGGGCGGGTCTCTTTTTCGCACGTCCCTCTCTCCTCTGTGTGAAGTGACCAACCTCCTGACTTCTATTGTGTGACATCACAGCTACTGTATATTGTGGCGCTCTCTCAGTCTGTGGCTTCTCTCTAACAACACTGTGTAGCAGGCGCCTCCTGCTGAGACCTCCTGCTGAGGCTCCTGCTGAGACCTCCTGCTGAGACCTCCTGCTGATGCTCCTGCTGAGACCTCCTGCTAATGCTCCTGCTGAGACCCCTGCTGAGACCTCCTGCTGAGACCTCCTGCTGATGTTCCTGCTGAGACCTCCTGCTGATGTTCCTGCTGAGACCCCTGCTGAGGGCCAGAGCTGCTCCCTCTCACTCCCATGTGTCCTGTTGTGTAGGAGTGCAGTAGCGTGACACGAGTGATGCTGCGGTTGTTTCTGTGACAAGCGACGCACAGTTTTCCCAGTGGGAGCCGTGACTGTCAGATCAAAGCCAGAAAGAAGAGGTTTCCTTTTCTGCGTCTGGCTCCAGGCCTGGAATTCTGATGTTATAGAACCACAGGAGTCCACTGTCACGTTACTGTCACTTTACTGACACTTTCAGCCCAGAGCCTCATCTGCAAACATGTACATTATACAAAGAAATTATCTCTTCTTTTTAATGTTAATCCTACAATATCGATAGACACACAGACAAACAGACAGACACACAGACAGACAGACAGACACAGACACACAGATAGATAGACAGACAGACACACAGACAAACTCACAGACAAACAGACAGACAGACAGACACACAGACAGACACACACACACAGACAGACACACAGACAGACACACACACAGACACACACACAGACACACACACAGACAGATAGAAAGATACTTTATTGATCCCCGTAGGAAAAATGCAGGTGTCCAGCAACAGCAGAAACACATCCAGACAAACACACAAGTATGTCTTATAAGTACATATTAAAGGGCTATAGTGCCAATACATGTGTTGTATAGGTAACCGTGGCAATGGGGCATTGCCATGGTAACTCATGTTTATGTCATCTCAGAACCTTGGATGTAATTGGGTTAAATGTGTGTGTGAGACCTCTTCAGACAAAAGCAAACACACAGTTGGTCGGGTTTATCACACACACAGTTGGTTGAAGCGTACACACAGTTTGAGTTTGTTCTTACACACAAACACAACATGAGCAGACGTCAGAACACAGACCCTCGCGTCTTCATGAGAGGGAACCAGCCCAGAAAGCAGAGGGCAGGTCTCAACACTACCAGAAACCCAGAGGAGATGCCCTTTAACCCGGCGTCCCACAGGTTTCAGAGACAGACGGAAGAGCAGAAGGCCAAGAGCTCAGCAGAAGCAAAGATTAGGAAGAGTGAGGAGAAACTCTTCAGCGTCAAAGTGATCTCGCAGCAGGATTTGAGGTTCGCCAGAGAAGATCTAGAAGAGCAGAGGAGAGAGACTGAGAGGCTGAAGAGTGAAGTGTCCTCTCTGACTTCTGCTCTGGAGGAGGCCACGGAGGCTCAAACCAAAGTGGACCTGCTGCAGAAGGAGACACAGGACCTCAAGAGTGTCATTATATAAAGCAGCACTGACCAAAGAAAAGTCCTCAGTCAAGGAGGCTCAGGGGAAACAGGCTGTGCTGGTAAAAGAGACTCAGGAGCTGAAGGAAAAAGTCTCGTCTCTGACATGTGCTCTGGAGGAGGAGAGGAAGAAGGTCACTGAGGCTCAGACCCAAGTGTCCTTTTATAAAGAAGCATTGACTAAAGAAAAGTTGTCTGTGAAGGGGTTGGTAAAAGAGACACATGAACTGAAGGAAGTAGTGTCCTCTCTGACAGAGAACCTGGGCGAGGAGAGGAACAAGGTCTCAGAAGCTCACAGTGAAGTGGAGCTGCTGCAGACAGTAGTGTCCTCTCTGACACAGGACCTGGAGGAGGCCAAGGAGGCTCAGACCAAAGTGGACCTGCTGCAGAAGGAGACACAGGAGCTCAGGAGTGCAGTGTCCTTATATAAATCATCTCTGACTGAAGAAAAGTCGTCAGTGACGGAGGCCAAGGAGAAACAGCAAGAGCTGCTGAAAGAGACACATGAACTGAAAAAAGAAGTGTCCTTTCTAAAAACAACTCTGGAGGCAGAAAGGATCTGCTCAGTGGAGTCTCAGACAACAGTGAACGTGCTTGAGACACAGACACAGGGGTTGAAGGATCAGGTCTCCTCTCTGACCAGTGCTTTGGAGAAGGGCAGGAGGAGTCTGGAGGAGACTCAGAGTGAAGTGCAGAGACTGGAGAAGGAGTCACTGCAGCTGAAGGAAGAGGTGTCCTCTCTGAAATCTGCTCTGGAGGAGGCCAAGGAGGCTCAGACCAAAGTGGACCTGCTGCAGAAGGAGACACAGGAGTGTCTCCTGTGTCTCCTGTGTCACCTCAGGAGTGAGGTGTCCTTTTATAAAGCAGCTCTGACTGAAGAAAAGTCATCAGTGAAAGAGGCTAAGGGGAAACAGCAGGAGCTGGTAAAACAGACTCATGAACTGAAACATGAGGTCTTCTCTCTGACTCAGGACCTGGAGGTACAGAGGAACACTGTCTCAGGAGCTCAGCTCACAGTGGACCTGCTGCAGAAGGAGACACAGGAGCTCAGGAGTGAAGTGTCTTTTCTAAAAACAACTCTGGAGGCAGAAAGGATCTGCTCAGTGGAGTCTCAGACAACAGTGAACGTGCTTGAGACACAGACACAGGTGTATCAGGTCTGCTCTCTGACCAGTGCTCTGGAGGAGGACAGGAGGAGTCTGGAGGAGACTCACAGTGAAGTACAGAGGATGAAGAAGGAGACGCTGCAGCTGAAGGAAGAGGTGTCCGCTCTGACACAGGACCTGGACGAGGAGAGGAACAAGGTCTCAGAAGCTCACAGTGAAGTGGAGCTGCTGCAGACAGAAGTGTCCTCTCTGACTTCTGCTCTGGAGGAGGCCAAGGAGGCTCAGACCAAAGTGGAGCTGCTGCAGAAGGAGACACGGGACCTCAGGAGTGAAGTGTCCTTTTATAAATCAGCACTAACAGAAGAAAAATCGTCAGTGAAGGAGGCTGAAGGGAAACAGCAGGTGCTGTTGAAAGAGACACATGAACTGAAGAGTGAAGTGTCCTCTCTGACTTCTGCTCTGGAGGAGGCCACGGAGGCTCAAACCAAAGTGGACCTGCTGCAGAAGGAGACACAGGACCTCAAGAGTGTCATTATATAAAGCAGCACTGACCAAAGAAAAGTCCTCAGTCAAGGAGGCTCAGGGGAAACAGGCTGTGCTGGTAAAAGAGACTCAGGAGCTGAAGGAAAAAGTCTCGTCTCTGACATGTGCTCTGGAGGAGGAGAGGAAGAAGGTCACTGAGGCTCAGACCCAAGTGTCCTTTTATAAAGAAGCATTGACTAAAGAAAAGTTGTCTGTGAAGGGGTTGGTAAAAGAGACACATGAACTGAAGGAAGTAGTGTCCTCTCTGACAGAGAACCTGGGCGAGGAGAGGAACAAGGTCTCAGAAGCTCACAGTGAAGTGGAGCTGCTGCAGACAGTAGTGTCCTCTCTGACACAGGACCTGGAGGAGGCCAAGGAGGCTCAGACCAAAGTGGACCTGCTGCAGAAGGAGACACAGGAGCTCAGGAGTGCAGTGTCCTTATATAAATCATCTCTGACTGAAGAAAAGTCGTCAGTGACGGAGGCCAAGGAGAAACAGCAAGAGCTGCTGAAAGAGACACATGAACTGAAAAAAGAAGTGTCCTTTCTAAAAACAACTCTGGAGGCAGAAAGGATCTGCTCAGTGGAGTCTCAGACAACAGTGAACGTGCTTGAGACACAGACACAGGGGTTGAAGGATCAGGTCTCCTCTCTGACCAGTGCTTTGGAGAAGGACAGGAGGAGTCTGGAGGAGACTCAGAGTGAAGTGCAGAGACTGGAGAAGGAGTCACTGCAGCTGAAGGAAGAGGTGTCCTCTCTGAAATCTGCTCTGGAGGAGGCCAAGGAGGCTCAGACCAAAGTGGACCTGCTGCAGAAGGAGACACAGGAGTGTCTCCTGTGTCTCCTGTGTCACCTCAGGAGTGAGGTGTCCTTTTATAAAGCAGCTCTGACTGAAGAAAAGTCATCAGTGAAAGAGGCTAAGGGGAAACAGCAGGAGCTGGTAAAACAGACTCATGAACTGAAACATGAGGTCTTCTCTCTGACTCAGGACCTGGAGGTACAGAGGAACACTGTCTCAGGAGCTCAGCTCACAGTGGACCTGCTGCAGAAGGAGACACAGGAGCTCAGGAGTGAAGTGTCTTTTCTAAAAACAACTCTGGAGGCAGAAAGGATCTGCTCAGTGGAGTCTCAGACAACAGTGAACGTGCTTGAGACACAGACACAGGTGTATCAGGTCTGCTCTCTGACCAGTGCTCTGGAGGAGGACAGGAGGAGTCTGGAGGAGACTCACAGTGAAGTACAGAGGATGAAGAAGGAGACGCTGCAGCTGAAGGAAGAGGTGTCCGCTCTGACACAGGACCTGGACGAGGAGAGGAACAAGGTCTCAGAAGCTCACAGTGAAGTGGAGCTGCTGCAGACAGAAGTGTCCTCTCTGACTTCTGCTCTGGAGGAGGCCAAGGAGGCTCAGACCAAAGTGGAGCTGCTGCAGAAGGAGACACGGGACCTCAGGAGTGAAGTGTCCTTTTATAAATCAGCACTAACAGAAGAAAAATCGTCAGTGAAGGAGGCTGAAGGGAAACAGCAGGTGCTGTTGAAAGAGACACATGAACTGAAGAAAGAAGTGTCCACTCTGACTTCTGCTCTGGAGGAGGAGTGGAACAAGGTCATGGAGGCTCAGAGTCACATGGACGTGTTGGAGAAGGAGACGCTGCAGCTGTTGTCTGCAGTGACAGACCTCAGCCTCAGGGGGGCGCAGCAGGAGCAGAGCATTCAGCAGCAGCAGGACGTGTTCACAGCTCAACAGCAGGAACTCCAAACTGCTGTGGCTCAAATGAAAACTCTGTCAGACAAGCTAGAGTCTGAGGAGCAGAGGAGGACACTGCTGGAACAGAAGATAGAGGAGCTTTCTCTCTCTCTGACCTCTTCACAGAAGACCAGCTCCACTCTGAGGCAGGAGAACAACCTGCTGCAACAAACCATGGCCAGGATGGAGCAGCAGCGACAGGAGGAACTCCTCCTGAAGAAGAAGAGGAAGAGGAGGTGGTTCTTATGTGGCTCTGAAAGAGCTTCCAGCCAATAAGACCAAACTCACCCTAACACCAAACCACAGCCACAAGACTTCACTTCATGAGTTTGACTCATTGGGGCTTCATCATCTTCATCTTCATCTTCACAGATGAAAAGACTCTTTTCTTGAACATGATGATGTTTGAGTCCATCTTGTCTCCATAGTCGTGGACTTCACCCAGAGCAGCCGGAGCTGTCGGGGAAGACACTTTCATCTCCTGTGATTGGATATGATTTTCTGTTTTTGTGCTGAATAGGAAAATATGTTTTTATATTTTAATATTTTGTCCAAACAGTGAATAATTGTATAAAATCATATTTGAGACTAAAGGCCGTGGCCTGAGCCTGAGCCCAAAGAGACACTTCAGGAGCAACACAATCAGTGGTTTGTGAGTTTGAGAGCAACATGTGAAGAATCATAGAAACGACTGGATATTGACTATATGACTTAAATAAAAAAATATAATTATACCATTTTTGATTTTGTTCAGTAATTAGACCCGAGCCCCATCTGGGCGTAGGGTTTATTGTTTTCATCTGTCTGCTCAAAAACTTCAGGCGCTTTACAAATAAAGATTGATTGATTCAGAATTATGTATAATGTGTTGTCATAGAAACCATTATATTCCTGCTCGAGCGTTTTTAGAAAATTCCTTTTATTATCGTGTTTTTCTTTTGCTTTTTGATCCGTAATTTCACCCATTTACGAAAACTAAATTTATTATCTGCTGTTCCCAGAATCAGGACTACCCACGGGAGGAAATGTTTCGGATGCAGCTAAAATCTGGAACAGTCTTCCTCTTAATGTGTGACAGGTTTCTACTTTGTCTTGCCTCTGTTTGGAAAATCTGTAAAATGACACTATCCCTCAAGCTACAATCTTCAACATGTTTTGTTATTGGTAGTAAAGTCGAAAGAATCTGCTCATGACGGGGTGTATATGTATTTGTGGCACTGACAAAATCTTTCTATTCAAAACAACTACTTGATATAGAGATAATTTTAAGCCTTTCAAATATGTTTTTAATGTCACGTTTCTGTTTTCTGATTTGTATACGTGTAAAAACAAAGTCAGGACAGATGCGCAGCTTCTTCGCGTGGCTTAAAATCAGGACCAAGGACAGCGCGGTGCGTCAGTCTCCGCTTGGATTCAACAGTGAAACTTTCTCTTGTCATGAACGAGCAGCAGAGCAAAGATGTCTGAGGACTGTGTGGACGTAGACAGACCCTCTGGTTTAATCCACACTTCTTTAAACTTCACCTGCGTTTGGAACTCATCCCACCATCCGAACCAGAGCCAAGACCAAGGGGACGCAGCGGGAGACGCAGCGGCGGTACTGAGGATCGGCATCTCCGTGGTCTACTCCCTGGTGTGCGCGCTGGGTCTGGTGGGCAACGTGCTGGTCCTGCACCTGATGAAGTCCAAGCAGATCTGGAAGAAGTCCTCCATCAACCTCTTCGTCACCAGTTTGGCTCTGACCGACCTCCAGTTTGTGCTCACGCTGCCGTTTTGGGCTGTGGAGAACGCCTTGGACTTCACGTGGCTCTTCGGTAACGTCATGTGCAAAGTCGTGTCCTACGTTACGGCTATGAACATGTACGCCAGCGTGTTTTTCCTCACGGCTATGAGCGTGGCGAGGTACTGCTCCCTCGCCTCTGCGCTCAGGACCCGGATGAGACGACGCGCGCAATGCCAGTCCCCCCCGTGCGTCGCCGTCTGCATCTGGCTCTTGGCCGTGTCTGCTGCCTTGCCTCACGCCGTCTTCTCCACCACTGTCACCATAGCGGACGAGGACCTGTGTCTGGTCAAATTCCCAGACAACAACAACAATAACAACAGCTCCTCCACGGGCCAGCTATGGTTTGGATTGTACCACGCGCAAAAAGTACTTCTGGGTTTTGTTTTCCCCTTGTGCGTCATCTCTGCCAGCTACCTGCTCCTTCTGCGTTTCATAACACCCAAAAGCATCAACAATTCGAGTGCCAAACGGAGAGCCAAAGTCACAAAGTCTGTCACGATTGTTGTTTTGTCGTTTTTTCTGTGCTGGCTGCCAAACCAGGCTCTGACAGTCTGGGGGATTCTCATCAAACTCAACGTGGTGCATTTTAGTTATGAATACTACACAACCCAAGCCTATGTGTTCCCACTGTCTGTGTGTTTGGCTCATTCCAACAGCTGCCTCAACCCCATTCTCTACTGCCTCATGAGGAGGGAGTTCAGGAAGGCGCTGAGGAGGATGTTTGGACGCATGACTTCTTCCAACAACGTGACCAACATCAGACCGGTGACTGCGAGCACGAAGCCGGAGGGAGGGGTGGGGGCAGCGGGGGGACAGGCCAATAGCGTGTCCCAGGAGCCCGCGGTGGTGGTGTTCTACCCGCCCGGAGCTGTCATGTACAGCGACAGACACGACCTGCCTCAGAACAGCACCTGAAAACATGGTCTCAAACTTGTGGCACGCGAGTCATTTGCGGTCCGTGGAAAAGTATTATGTGGCCCGATAGTGGATAATGTCAGTGCTGCCCCCATGGAGAGTCTAATAGAGAGTTTTAAAGCTAATATCGTCAAGAAAACCACCACCAAGTTTTATCATAACCTGCGTCAAAACAGCGCCTAGAAACGTGGTCTCAAACTTGTGGCACGCGAGTCATTTGCTGTCCGCGGAAAAGTATTATGTGGCCCGATAGTGGAGATTACAGTTTAATGTCAGTGCGGCCCCCATGGAGAGTCTAAATATGGCATGTTATACATTATTTTAAAGCTAATTTTATCAAGAAAACAGACACCCTTTTTTACCATAACTTGCATCAAAACAGCCCCGCAAAACATTGTCTCAAACTTGCGGGCCGTGGGCTATTTGTGGTCCGCAAAAAGTTTTTTTTGTGGCCCAATCATAGAGATTAAACTTTTGAATGTCCGTACGGCCTCCACTGAAAGTCTGTGCAAATATGGCATGTTATACATAGTTTTAAAGCTATTTTTTATCAAGAAAACAACCACCATAGTTCACTATACCCCGCGTCCAAACAGCACCTCAAGCATGGTCTCAAACTTGCGGCCCGCGGTTTAAAGGTTGTTGTGTGGCCCTCTAGTGGAAAGAGGCTCTTCAATACATCTTTTATAAAACTTTCTTTGGAATTCAATCCGGTTTGAGCAGGTTTACACACTACAACAACACAACTACTACTTTTGCGTCCAGTTTTGTTTCAATCCAAGCAGCTGGACTCATTATGTTCATGAAAATATATATAAAAAAATCAAACTAAATATTTTCAAACCAGGCCTTTATCACAGTGTCTTATCTGTGTGTATAGATCACATTATTAGACCGTTACTCATCTGATGCCTCCGGACTCCGACAGCTTTTCAATCACGGTGGTATTTGATTTGTTAGCATAAAGTCAATGGATAAAGAATGTATAGAGCGTCTCTGAAGTGTGTCTGAGCCTTTTCTAATAAATTATGTAAAAAAAAGGTAGTCCTTGTGTGTAAATGGTCTGACAGCACCAAGGTTATCGGGTGGATGTGGACGAGAGGACATTTTATCCAATTAAGAACAAGCCTTGAAATTGTTGAACTGAAAAAGTGTTCCGTAATGAACAGATATCGTGTTAAAAGCAGACATAATTTTGGTAATCTCTCTTCTTTAGATTTGAAATTTAAGGTGAAGCTACAGTAAGTAAAGGTTTATTCCCACACAACACGTGACGAGAACTCCCACAGCAGTCAGTTTGACGGCTTTTAGTTTTTGAAGTGTAATTACTCAGCGTATGAAGGTTTTTGATCTTCATAACTTGGTAACTTTTTCTGTTTCTATATGTAGCAAGTGATAGTTATTTTAAATGTATTTTATCTATTTAATATGGACAAAACAATAACATTGGATGAACCAGATGCATTGCTGTAAGTGTTATACTAGTCCACAGGGGTTTTTACATTACAGAAGATGAAATGGTCCTGGTCCTCTCTTGAACCTCACCTGGTCTTCTCTTGGACCTGTCCTGGACCTGTCCTGTTCCTATCCTGGTCCTGTCCTGGTCTTGTCCTAGTCCCGTCCTGTACTAGGACCAGATAGGTCCTGGGAGCAGATGGGTGTTTAGTCCTGATTCTCTGCACCAGTCCTTGTGCTCCTCAGAGTCTCAGCAGTATGCCAGTCCCGGTGCTCCTCTGGGTGCCAGTCGGAGGCCAGTCCCTGTGCTCCTCCCGGTCCCAGTAGGTTCATATGCCAGAGAACTCTGGTGCGAGGTCTTGGAGAGTCTAAAGTCTTTCCTGTTTAGAGTTGAATGAAAACCAGAGCGTGTTGAATATCAAAGATTATTTATTATTCAAATACAAAGGAAAAACACAGCAGTCACTCCACGTATCGGATGAAGAGTGCGATGAAGATGCAGCCGAGCAGAGACACGGTGGAGGCCGACAGCACAACCACGATGACGCTGCCCGCCAAGTTCACCAGAGCGCCAAGCCCCGCCCCCACGATGATCTGAGCCAGCTGCACCATGCACGTGAGCGCCGCCACGTCCACGCCCGTGCCACGTGGACTCCCACCGCCGCCACGGAGCTTCAACTGCTCCTGATACACACACACACATGTACACACACACACACGTGTAACGGCGTAAGATTCAGAGATCCAATATTGCTGCATTACAGGTCACAGAAAAGTGAATAATAAGTGCAGCTCTATAAATATTATAGACACACAAATACACACACTCGCACACACACACACACACACATACAAATCCACGCACACATGCATAGGCATACATGCACACATACAGTGGGGCAAAAAAGTATTTAGTCAGCCACCGATTGTGCAAGTTCCATCCATCCATCCATTTTCTTCCCCTTAATCCATTTCTGGGTCAGGGGGGTGGCAGTCAGAGCTACACCCAGTCCACTTAGCACCAGCCCCTCACTGATCCTCCTGCAGGTGGTGAGTCCACAGGAGCTGAGATCTTTCAGTGGGAGCTTCAGGCAAAGTGGGGTTAAGTGTCTTGCCCAAGGACACAACGACAGCAGTCATCAGTGGGAGTCGTGAAGTAGGTCTTATGGTGGGCTTGAACCCACAACCTTCAGGCCCAAAGGCCAATGCTCTACCAACTGAGCTACTGTCGCCCCAAGTTCTCCCACTTAAAATAATGACAGAGGTCTGTAATTTTCATCATAGGTACACTTCAACTGTGAGAGACAGAATGTGAAAAAAAATCCAGGAATTCACATTGTAGGATTTTTAAAGAATTTATTTGTAAATTATGGTGGAAAATAAGTATTTGGTCACTTCAAACAAGGAAGATCTACGGCTCTCACAGACCTGTAACTTCTTCTTTAAGAAGCTCTTCTGTCCTCCACTCTTTACCTGTTTTAATGGCACCTGTTTGAACTCATCTGTATAAAAGACCAAATGTAGCCCTCAATGATATTTCAACCACTGATAATCTCACTTGATCTGGGGCTCTACGCAAGATCTCATCCCGTGGGGTCAAAATGATCATGAGAACGATGATCAAAAATCCCAGAACCACACGGGGGGACCTGGTGAATGACCTGCAGAGAGCTGGCACCAAAGTAGCAAAGCTTACCATCAGTAACACACTACGACGACAGGGAATCAAATCCTGCAGTGCCAGACGTGTCCCCTGCTGAAGCCAGTGCATGTCCAGGCCCGTCTGAAGTTTGCCAGAGAGCACTTGGATGATACAGCAGAGGATTGGGAGAATGTCATGTGGTCAGATGAAACCAAAGTACAACTGTTTGGTATAAACTCAACTCTCCGTGTTTGGAGAAAGAAGAATACTGAGTTGCATCCCAAGAACACCATACCTACTGTGAAGCATGGGGGTGGAAACGTCATGCTTTGGGGCTGTTTTTCTGCTAAGGGGACAGGACGACTGATCCGTGTTAAGGAAAGAATGAATGGGGCCATGTATCGTGAGATTTTGAGCCAAAATCTCCTTCCATTGAGTTGAATTTGTGTTATTGACCAAATACTTATTTTCCACCATAATTTACAAATAAATTCTTTAAAAATCCTACAATGTGAATTCCTGGATATTTTTTTCACATTCTGTCTCTCACAGTTGAAGTGAACCTATGATGAAAATTACAGACCTCTGTCATTATTTTAAGTGGGAGAACTTGCACAATCGGTGGCTGACTAAATACTTTTTTGCCCCACTGTATATACAGTATATATACGCAAAAACCTTCTTACATGCAGGCACACACACATACGACACAAACAGACACACCTATTCAGATAATTGTACATACAGGCACACACACACAGACATGCACACACACATATATACACACATATACGCAAAAACATTTGTAGATACAGGCACATACACACACACGTACACACAAACGTTTGCACTTATAGGCTCACATGTACGCACACGCACACAAACACACACACGCACCTATACAGACGTACAGAAGCACATTTTGTACATACAGGCACACACACACACACACACACACCACAGTAAACATGTCATACCATATAATTCCGGCAGACACCACTTACAGCAAGAACATCTGATTATTTACTGTTTTTTCTGCTGATCTTCACTGTTGCCCCTCGGTGTGAAGCCCCGCCTCACAGTAAACACACACTTTATTTCTTTTCCATTTAGTCTCCTACAGATCCTTCTGAGACTCAATGAAACACACACAATACAACCGTACATACAACCGTAACAACACAATACAACCGTACACACGCAATACAACCGTACACACGCGATACAACCGTACAGACACAATACAACCGTACACACACAATACAACCGTACACACACAATACAACCGTACACACGCAATACAACCGTACATACGCGATACAACCGTACACTCGTGATACAACCGTACACACGCGATACAACCGTACACACACAATACAACCGTACACAGGCAATACAACAGTACACACACACAATACAACCGTACACACACAATACAACCGTACACACCCAATACAACCGTACACACACAATACAACCGTACACACACAATACAACCGTACACACACAATACAACCGTACACACACAATACAACCGTACACACACAATACAACTGTACACAGGCGATACAACCTCACACACACAATACAACTGTACACACACAATACAACCGTACACACGCAATACAATCGTACACACACAATACAACCGTACACACGCAATACAACCGTACACACGCGATACAACCGTACACACACAATACAACCGTACACACGCAATACAACCGTACACACGCAATACAACCGTACACACGCAATACAACCGTACACACGCAATACAACCGTACACAGGCAATACAACCGTACACACACAATACAACCGTGCACACACAATACAACCGTACACACACAATGCAACCGTACACACACAATACAACCGTACATAAGAATCCATGAGCAGAGAAAAATGGTCTTCCTTTAGTTACTGTTTTTTATCTTGAATACAGACACACAAAGCGTCCATTAAAACACACACACACATTCTATTCTGTGTAGTAACTTGTGTAGTGCGTCGTGTAGTAACTTGTGTCACTCTTGTTGTGTAGAAAACGACCTGTCGAGAACAAGGCCAGAGATTGACCTCACTGAGTTTGGATTTGAGAGGAAGAGAACAGATGATTTCACTTGAACATAAAACAGTTTGTAAATGTGTCTTTGATCGGCTTCAGCTTTGACTGAGTTTGTGAATCATCTTTGATAATAAATGAATTTTCCTAAAGTAATTATTTCAATTTAATTAACGTCACCCTTTAGACACAGTCGACTTCTGTAGTGTGGCTCTGGCGCTTACTGCACTCATAATTTGTCTGTAAAAATACTCTATTTAATTTTTTATTTATTGTATATTTCTAATAAAAATGTACAGTATTCTACAATAAAAAAAAAAATCTTAGAAAATTCAAAGGTATTTTTTTCTAAATGGAAAACAAGGTGGAAAAGTAAAAAATCCCTATTATTATTGTTGGCACACAGCGACGTGTTTTGACAGCCCCCCAAAAATGATGCATTCTTTATATCTATTTTTTCTGTTTTTAACTTGTTTGCACCGAGTGCCAAAGCAAATTCCTAGTTTGTGACTTCCTGTTACTCGTGACGGCAAAACAAACTGTTCTGATTCTGATTTCAAATGTTGCGACTTCTCTCTTTTATGACAGTATCTTATTTACAGAATCAGTCGGAGTTCACGGGTCTAATGCCCTGTTTCCACCAGACCAGACGCTGTGGCAGGTGTTTTATCGAACAGACGAGCAGCAACCAATCAGAGAGCAGCAGAGTGATGCAGGGGACACAGGCCAGAGAAGAAGAAACAAGAGGTGAACCAGGATTAAACCAGGACCTTCACTTGCTGATGAAGAAAATAATGTAAAAGCACAAAAAACTGCTCACACTCATCTGCGTCAAACCTCCGCCCAAAGTAAATCTCATACTTTCCACACAGAAAACCACTTTTATAGTTCTGCCCCCCCGCGAGGTCTAAGTTCAGCGATGACTCTGGACATTTATAAACATTTATGCGTCCCCTCCCCGCCTGGGAGCTGCCTCTGTCCTGCATTGTCTCTGTCCTCGTTCCTTGAGCTCTCTGATTGTGCTCTACCTGTGTCTATTTTTGGTCTGTTTAGAGTTTAATGTATATTTTCTACTGTGGTGTTTGCAAATATATCTCATCCTATCTTATCTCATCCTCTAAGATAACTACTGTAGTGATTTAGGGCTATACAAAAATACATTGAATTGAATTGGTCATCCCTTCCTGTTCCTAATACTTGGATTTACTTTCTTTTATGCGTTTGGTTCTCTGATCTATTGTTGGCAACTGGAATCACCAGCTTTAGAAGTCCGCAGAGACTACTGCTGTTAAGATTCAGCGCTATGAAGAAATTAATTGAACTGAAATTGAGGTCCTCATGAAGTAGAACAAGAGAATAGTTTCACAAGAGTTCTGCAGACAATGAACTAAAACATCACTTGCTGCTTTACCTTATACTTTTTGATTGGTAAGTAAATCACTTAGACAGGTCTCTATGGAAACGGCTAAATAACACAGCAATTGATTGTGGTTGTATTCATTTATACAAAGGCTTGAAAATTATTCATACCCCACTCCCTTTTCACAAAAGCAAATAAAAAGTTTTTCGAGGTTGTGTTGGGGTTGTAATGAGTGTGAGTGAGTGCAGATGTGAATGAGTTGGTGTCAGACAGGTGTAATTTCTACATATTGTCAGCAGCTTGATGTCCCACTGTTCGTGCTGCAACCCTCCTCCTCCCCATTGCTGCCTCTTCACCGGAGAATCGTCATGTTATCGGCTCTGCTTCCTTCACTACCAAAGTCTATACCCGGGGGTTCGCAATCTCCTAATCACTCTAAAATTGTATTATATGTTCAGTATCATGTATCTTCATATGTATCTTTTTTCTTTCACTTTGCATTGTTGGCCATATTGTGCGAGAAAGCAAAAGTTGTGTGTGGTATTGACAAAATGTGACAAAGGATATTGGGGTAGGAACAGTTTTGTCAAGTCGCTGTATCTTTACCATTAAAAGCCTGTGTTGAAACTGATAGTAAATAAGTAAGTAAGTAAGTAATGTTTATCTACTGTATATACCGCATTTTTACTGACCAAGGTCACCCAAAGCACTTTACAATGTTCAGAGTTCAGATATTGTTTCATTCTTTCCATGGAAGCGAGATTCCGATCCCACTGGGGCATCAAAGCCTCTGACCAAACACTCACTTATTAGATCTATACCTATTGTGCATGTTTTTAGTGGTAGGGGAAACCTGGAGCACCTGGAGGAAACGTACGCAGGTATGGGGATAACATAGAAACTCAACTCAGAAAGACCCTGTTCCGACCGGGATTCGAACCCAGAAGTGCTATCCACCTCGCCCACTAATAAACTCAATTCAATTCAATTCCATGTATTTATTTTTGTAATGAGGAGGACTTAACAAAGCTGTCAATTCGCCAACAGCAGATCGGAGAATCAAACACAAGAAAAGCAATGATAAAAACACATAGAGCAGGCATGTCCAAACTCAGGCACGGGGGCCAATTGCGGCCCTCAGTATCATTTTATTGTGGTCCTCTGCCTCGCCAACCCAAAGTAGATAGTAGTAGTAATGGTGCTACTATAGCTGGTGAGATGGTAAACATTTGTCATTCAGCCAACTTCAGCTCTTTCATAGATCATCATAAATCTCAGAACAGCCCGATGCCAGTTTTCCAGTCCCTGTTGTCGGCCCCTGAACTAGTCTGGTGAACTAAAGTGGCCCTCTTACTATAAAGTTTGGACACCCCTGACATAGAGCCATTGGTCCATATGTGGCAGAGACCAATATCCATAAATGTTCAGATATGTCCATAAATATCTTTGAAACAGAAACATATCGAACTCTCAGCAGCTAAAATCTCATCTTACGACAAAGAAAGGAGAACTACTAAAAGATAATGTTTAGAAAGATAAATATTAAGCCTAAAGACAAAGTTATTGTTGAAAGTTATTGTGACAGTGTAAAGTGCTTCCAGCTTCAATAAAAAGGTGATGAAGAGTCTAATGGAACAACAAAGACACAAAAATGACTGAAATTACCTGTGGATTTAAGAGTGTGACCCGATATGCATTTAAGAAGATTGTTTTTTGACTCATCCTATAAATACGCTAATACGATAAAACGCCACAGAAGAAGTCAGTCCTGAATCTATTGGGAGACTGTGATTTTCAAAGTATTATGTGTTTAAAGACTCACTTGTTTAGACTTTCTTATCTATAGTAAGCTTTATTTATACAGCGCCTTCCACAGACCAAGGCCACAAAGCGCCTCACAGTAAGAAACAGTTAAAATACCAAAAATGTGCGTACAAACATAGAAATATAATCCCCAAGAGTTAAAACAGCCCCAAGCCGCAGCGTCCTTTTCAATCTTAAAACCTTGAATGATCCAAAGAGCAGAGGATCATTCCGGAGTTTGGGAGCAACAGCCTGGAGGAACCGGTCTCCTCATGTCCGGAAGCGAGATTCTGATCCACAGACCCAGACCCGGCCCGTGGCATAGGCCGTATAGGCAAATATGTTTAGGGCGCCGTCCATCGGGGGTGGGAGGGGCCATGCCAGTGTCAGAATTTTTGTGGAGAAGATCGCGATTCTTTCCTAAAATTTGAGAAATTATCCTTCTCCTTTAAGTTTGAGTTTTACTTCCTGTCTGTCCTGTTGAATGTTGGCCCCGCCCTGACCCTGTGCTCCTGTCCTCTTGTTTTCCCCGTGTCTCCTTCCTGGTTTCAGTTTTTACTTTTTGTGGCATTTATTAAATCATATTACTTTGCAGCTCTGCTTTTGGGTCCTTCCTTGTTTATCCGTGACTGATCCTTTGTTTGCAAATCAAGTCCTCTGAGATAACTGCTGCTGTGATTTAGGGCTATAAGAAAATACATTGAATAGAATCACACACGGGTTTCACATTTATGTAACTTTATATGTGCGGGAAAAAAGTGGATATTTGACCGTGTAGTGACCCAGAGGCTGTAAGAGTGGGTTGTTATCAAGGTTTTCTGGTGCAGGGTCCGACAGCAGCAGAAAAAACCTCATTTTGAAACAACAATTTACATCCTTCAGCATCACGGAGGCAACTGTGATGGAATATTGAGGCTCCTCGCTGCCCACTCACAGCCGCTGGGTCACACTTGGTCAAATACGCAAAAAAAAATATGTTTCTCACAATATTCTGATTTTCCTAGATTCACCTGTAAACTATGTGTTACGTCTTGCACACACAACAACCAGCAAGACTTAAGGAAGGTGTGTTTTTGCCGAGCAGCTTTTCCCCTGTTCATCGATAACATTTCAGAAGTGAGTCAGACAGTACAATGAGAACTGCTGAGCCTGTGCATGTCGTAGTAAATACTGCAGATGTACTTCAGAGGTATTTATCCTGCCATCTATATTTACACAGTATTGTATTTACATTGCAAAAAGTGATGAGGAATAAGTCAAAAATTGCTCAAATTTGGCAAAAAGTATCTTGATCTGAGCACATTCTGACTGAGCCTTAAAGCAAGATTTTCCGACGGGACAAATCAAAATGATCTTGTTTTAAAAAGATACAATAAATGACTCCCTTGGAATGAGAAAATAAAGCAACAGTCCTTGAAATCAGACTAAATGGTTTTGTCCCATTGGAGAATCTTGTTTTAACACAGTCAGAACGTGTCAGATTAAGATAAAAACCACTGGATGCCTCATCATTTTTTGCAGTGATATATTGATAAAGGTAAAGTTGCACTTTGGGGCAATTCATCTTCTGCATTTGACCCATCCTGATGCCGGTCAGGAGCAGTGGTCGCCGTAGTAACAGCGCTCGGGACCCATCTCCAGATGTTGATGCTCGGCTTGGTCAGGTAGCTGGGGAATTTTACCTAGTTTGAATGTTTTTAGTGGTAGGGAAAACCGGAGCACCCGGAGGAAACCTATGCAGACACAAGGAGAACATGCAAACTCCACTCAAAGATCCTGATCCAACCGGGATTCAAACCCAGGAACTTCGTGTTGTGAAGCAAGAGTGCTAACCACGTGTCGCTGTAATATTTACATGTTGGTTAAGAAGCAGTGCAGCTACGTGTATATTATGTGTGCTCTTTTTAATGTCATTGGCATTTCCCCAGTGGGACAACAAAACTCTCTCATTCTGTTTTGGTTTATTCTTGTGTCCTTGGCAGACACCTCTTTCTTCTCAAAGCCAGGTCTACTACTTTGCTGATTGTGTTTTGTCTCTGTGTTTTTAAATAACAACAGCACTACAATGGTCATTACCATAGTCCGTGTATTAGTATTAGCCTAAATAGTGAAGAGGCTGACTTGAACATAAGCAAACGAATCTCCTTGGATGGCGTCAGCTTCCAAGGAAAAAGATAGGATAAACTTTATTGTTCCCAAGGGAAACATGCAGTGGGATCCAGTACTAACATAAAAAGAAACATGAGCGTAGTAGTGCTTTGAAGTCTCTGATTGGTCCAATTCCGTCCAATCAAATATAATGATACAGTAGGTCCTGCATAAAAACTGACAAGAGTTCAAACAGTTTTAGGATGTATTCATTATTAATTACTTTTTATTCAAAAGAGGAACTGAAGTTGGGACAAATGAAAGTAATAGGGGTAGATGTGTTGCTAAGAGGGTTGCTAAGAGAAGCTGGAGTGAATGAAGGCATCTGATTGGTCTGTTTGTTTCCAGCATGTCTCAAACTGTTGGTGTTTGCCAGAGACCATGAGTGTCAAAGTCGAGGCCCGGGAACCAGATCTGATCCGCGAAGGAAGGATCTTAGCCCTTGGGATGACATTTGATAAGTAATAGCTCTTGGTTCAATAGGTTATACGCAACATTTTAATATGTTTTGATAAAAATTGAACCAGTCTGGCTGTCGGCTTGTAGCAAATTGTAGTGGAAAAACCCGATTTGAGCACGGCGTTAGCTTCACGCAGACAGGTTGCTAAGACGGTTGCTAAGGGTACGCCGTAGTGTCCCTCGTGAATGAAGGCATCTGATTGGTCAATCTTTACACGGCTCATATCTGGATTTGGAAATGATACAAAAAGTGCCTAAAACCAAGAGGTAGATTTCAGTCCAAGCTTCATGAAGATATAGTGACTCAGAAAGTGGTTATTAAAGGGTTAAAAAATTATAATGGTGTACCTCCTCCTCCAGCTGGTACTCTGCGATGAGGTTGAAGGGGATTGTGTAGAGCGTGCTGGACATGACGCCGAACACGCTGCAGAGGATGAGGGTGGCGATGATGTTGGGGAAGAGGCCGATGAGGCTGGTGCCAAGACCGAACACAAAGTACCCCATGAAGTATAAACCTTTTAGTCCGATGTAGGGCAGAAGGCAACGCTGCACATCTGCACACAACACACACACAACACATTACACGGTTGTTTTGGACAATGAAAAAAAAGTGATGGAAAATAAGTCAACAATTGCTAAAGTTGCGGCAATAAAAAAATCATAAATTTTAGACAAAGCACATCACATTTTTTAACTGCATAAACAACCAATTCTTCACTATCTTATTTAAACAAAGAGAAAATGAATAAATTGAATATACAAAACTATCAAGTGCATCTGTGTGAATACAAGGACATTTATGGACATTTATGGACATTGGTTTTTAAGATTAAGATGAAAGATTGAGAGATCCTTTGTCCGTCCCACAGTGGTGACATTTCAGTGAATAATAATTGTATACTAAAAAAAAATTGAATCTCTAACTTTAGAGATGGTCTCTCACTCTGTCTAGTCTCTCTCTCTGGTCTCTCTCTAGTCTTTCTGGTCTCTCTCTAGTCCAGGGGTCGGCCTTTGTGACATGGGGTGCCAGATTGAAATGTTCTTCTCATTTAGAGTGCCATCATCAACGATAAAGCAAAGTTAAATTATGACACAAAATACAAAAAAACATTTCCAATATACCTGGAATTATATTTTCAACCATAACAGTGTCTGTATTCCTAATGAAATAGCCACATCAACATTTCAAAGACTGAAAAACAGATAGCCTACTCATTTAAACTAAAAAAAGTGTAGGCTGAGGCAACATCAAATGATCGGATGCCTATAGCAGACAGTCAGTGTGAGCCTGAGCCTACAGTAGACAGTCAGTGTGATCCCTGGGTCTATAGCAGACAGTCAGTGTGATCCTGGCCCTATAGCAGACAGTCAGTGTGATCCTGGGCCTATAGCAGACAGTCAGTGTGATCCTGGCCCTATAGCAGACAGTCAGTGTGATCCCTGGCCCTATAGCAGACAGTCAGTGTGATCCTGGGCCTATAGCAGACAGTCAGTGTGATCCTGGCCCTATAGCAGACAGTCAGTGTGATCCTGGCCCTATAGCAGACAGTCAGTGTGATCCCTGGCCATATAGCAGACAGTCAGTGTGATCCTGGCCCTACAGCAGACAGTCAGTGTGATCCTGGCCCTACAGCAGACAGTCAGTGTGATCCTGGCCCTACAGCAGACAGTCAGTGTGATCCTGGCCCTATAGCAGACAGTCAGTGTGATCCTGGCCCTACAGCAGACAGTCAGTGTGATCCTGGCCCTACAGCAGACAGTCAGTGTGAGCCTGGCCCTACAGCAGACAGTCAGTGTGATCCTGGCCCTACAGCAGACAGTCAGTGTGATCCCTGGCCATATAGCAGACAGTCAGTGTGATCCTGGCCCTACAGCAGACAGTCAGTGTGATCCTGGCCCTACAGCAGACAGTCAGTGTGATCCCTGGCCCTATAGCAGACAGTCAGTGTGAGCCTGGCCCTACAGCAGACAGTCAGTGTGATCCTGGCCCTACAGCAGACAGTCAGTGTGATCCCTGGCCATATAGCAGACAGTCAGTGTGATCCTGGCCCTACAGCAGACAGTCAGTGTGATCCTGGGCCTACAGCAGACAGTCAGTGTGATCCTGGCCCTACAGCGGACGGTCAGTGTGATCCTGGCCCTACAGCGGACGGTCAGTGTGATCCTGGCCCTATAGCAGAAAGTCAGTGTGATCCCTGGCCATATAGCAGACAGTCAGTGTGATCCTGGCCCTACAGCAGACAGTCAGTGTGATCCTGGCCCTATAGCAGACAGTCAGTGTGATCCTGGCCCTACAGCAGACAGTCAGTGTGATCCTGGGCCTATAGTAAGTAAGTAAGTAAGTTTTTATTTATATACCGCCTTTTCACTGCAGATCAGAGTCTCAAAGCGGTTTACAATTGTTAATTTTGGGCATTTGTCTCTCACTCCACACAGAGATGGGAGCGGGGTCGCCAGTACAGGAGGCATATGCCAGAACTATTGGACATATTTTTAGTGGTAGGGGAAACCGGAGTACCCGGAGGAAACCTACGCAGACACGGGGAGAACATGCAAACTCCACTCAGAAAGGCCCTGGTCCGACCGGGATTTGAACCCAGGACCTTCTTGCTGAGAGGCGAGAGTGCTATCCACTCAGCCACCGTGCCGCCCATGTAGCAGACAGTCAGTGTGATCCTGGCCCTACAGCGGACGGTCAGTGTGATCCTGGCCCTATAGCAGACAGTCAGTGTGATCCTGGCCCTACAGCAGACAGTCAGTGTGATCCTGGCCCTATAGCAGACAGTCAGTGTGATCCCTGGGTCTATAGCAGACAGTCAGTGTGATCCTGGCCCTACAGCAGACAGTCAGTGTGATCCCTGGCCCTATAGCAGACAGTCAGTGTGATCCTGGCCCTATAGCAGACAGTCAGTGTGATCCCTGGCTATATAGCAGACAGCCAGTGTGATCCCTGGCCCTACAGCAGACAGTCAGTGTGAGCCTGGCCCTACAGCAGACAGTCAGTGTGATCCTGGCCCTACAGCAGACAGTCAGTGTGATCCCTGGCCCTATAGCAGACAGTCAGTGTGATCCTGGCCCTACAGCAGACAGTCAGTGTGATCCCTGGCCCTACAGCAGACAGTCAGTGTGATCCCTGGCCCTATAGCAGACAGTCAGTGTGATCCTGGCCCTACAGCAGACAGTCAGTGTGATCCTGGCCCTACAGCAGACAGTCAGTGTGAGCCTGGCTCTATAGCAGACAGTCAGTGTGATCCTGGCCCTATACATAGTTCCCACAGACCAATGAATGTCACCTCCTCGGAGACGCCATCTTTGATGGCACGCTGCTGTGTTTGTACATTCCATTAAACAGAAGAATGAGAATAAATGTAGATATTCAAACGCAAATTGGAAAAAAAGGGCAACTTTTGAGCAAATAATTGTATATTAATACAATGGCACCACAGTTTAACGTGCTACGGACATGTTATACATATTTGATCAAATTATGCAGCAAAAATTAACAAGCAATGCAAACATTTCTCAAAAACTTTAGATTTAATACCAGTTGGAGCTCCATTTAATTATTTTAATTATATTAACAATTAATTTAATTAATGCTAATGCCACACGGACACTCTGGATTGCTGTTATTGTTTATTTCCGCGTTTTTGACCGTATGTTTTGGTGAATGGTGGGCAACTGATTTTTCCAGGCGTAAAGAGCAGTTTATTTTATGACACAGATCTTTTTACAGAAGCAATGCTGTTTGTGAACATTGTTTTAGCCCACCATAGAACTATTATTATCTATTTAATACATTTACGTTGCCCTCGAGAGCCTCGGACGCGACACCGATCCTCCTCATAATAAAGTAATCTAAATAATGAAACTCTCAAGTTACCAGCTATCAGCATACACAAGTTAGTACTGAGTAAATTACGTCTGTCAACACATTATGAGATACGATACGCACCTGACACAAAGTGCTCCGAGCATATTCTTGCGTGTTTTGAGGGAGTTTCTTGCCTGTTTATCTTCGCAAGCCATAACCTCCGTGGTTGTTCTGACAAAAGCTTAGTCTTCTCACATTCATGAAGTCTAATGATGGGTATACTGTAAAATCCAAGTTTAACGGAACCTCCGGCACGATTTGAACATCCATTGACCCAGCAGGAGATGACCATTTTCAACTTTATCACGACATTAACACGTTTCAGCTTCTTTTTCTATTGTTTTGCCCACAGCATGCCAACACAAATGTCCGTATGTAGTGACGTCATGTAGGAACCAGAGGTGTGGACTCGAGTCATGTGACTTGGACTCGAGTCAGACTCGAGTCATGATTTTGATGACTTTAGACTCGACTTGACCAAATATAAAAAGACTTGCAACTCGACTTGGACTTTAACATCAATGACTCTGACTTTCACTTGGACTTGCGCCAATTGACTTGCAAAGACTTGCGTAACCCGGGCCATTTTTACCTTTCTCCGCATCTCTCTTTCTATCTATGCCGTCTCTGAAGAAACAAAGCCTCGCGGTAGTTGTAGCGCTCGCGCGAGAGTTCGAACGTGAGTTCCAGGCAGTTCGCGCAGCAACACTTCCCTAAACAAGCGGACTGCATTCACCGGTGGGTGTGTTGTCTAGGGGAGCTGGAAATGAGCGAGCTGCAGGTATTTATCGCGACCTAACGTCATATTTTGTTCTACAAACCGTAATTGATATGCTTTCACTACAGGCGCCTCATACAATTGAATCGACGCAGTTGTCACACTGTGTGCCGTGTTTTAAAGAGGAACTGGTGAGTCAAACTAGCGCTAGCCTGCGCTGCTCTGTTGGCTCTTTCTTATATTTTTCTGTGTGGGCGCCGAGGCCTATTATTATGAGTATGTTTTTGCTGTGCTCCTCCTGCTAAAGTTTGCATACATTAGATAGTTGTTTTGATTATGTGCACTAAACTAGATTAATATTTGCACTATTGTTTATGGTTCATTGATATGAGAATCAGTACTTTGACTGATTGAATTAATTTATATGAGACATTTTATTATGTAATGATATATTGGTAATTATGAGATATTACTAATGCTGGCCCAGTTCATACAGGCCAGGTTCCTTCCCCTCCATTGGTCCCTTCAGTCCTTTGGAACAATAACCACTATGGACATTAAACTGATTATATAGATACAGGTCCTAGCCCAATACTCATATTCATATATGCTGCACTTGCTACTTCCCATTAAAAACCCCAAAGATAAAAAGTATGTTGACACGGACTGCTCTGATTTTTTGTGTGGTCTGTGCATGTGTAACTGAGCCTGCATCTGGCACAACATCCAATTAGATCACGTAGATAGTTTTGATTTACCAGCAGCCAACCACATGGAACAAACTGTTAGTCCATGGGTCAGAGACCAACGAGAATGCACCAGCAAAATGATTCCTAACATTATTTAGTTTGCCTACAAAAGTACGTGGAGAAACAAATCGCGGTCAAAAAGACTCGAGAGGACTCGAAAGTCAAACCGTAGGACTTGGGACTGACTTGGGATTTGTTGGCCTTTGACTTGGACTCGACTCGGGACTTGCCTGTCTTGACTCGTGACTTGACTCGGGACTTGAGGGCAATGAATTGAGACTGACTTGTGACTTGCTAAACAATGACTTTGTCCCACCTCTGGTAGGAACTATGTATAGCAGGCGGTCAGTATGATCCTGGCCCTGCTTTGCTTGAGCTCTGTGATCTGTGGCTTGTAGTTAGTTACTTTGAGTTGCAAACAAGCCTCAGAGTGCTCTGTTGTTAACCAACTGCGGGTGGGGCTTCTCGTCCTCCAGTTCTGGATATTTTTGGCCCTTTTCATTCAGAAAGCCTTAAAAGCATCAAAGCAGCTCACAAATTGCTCCAAAACTTCATGGTCTCGCTGCTGAGTGGAGAGGCAAATCCACGCGGCGGTGTCCTCAAACGCGCACAAACAAAGGCAGATGCTTTTATTTTTAAAACATGACAGATACAGTGAGTATCGTAATAATACGGAGGCGCCAGCGTGACAGTGTTCATTCTCTAGGCTCTCTCACTTGTCTCTCAGTTGCAAAATATAATTCAAAAGAAAAACCCAGATTGGTTGGTTTGTCTGAAGGTGAAATGCAAAAAGGAACTGTTATGTTTCTTTTGCACCGGGGTAAAAGATCTCTCACTCTGGTCTCTCTCTGGTCTCTCTCTGGTCTCTCTCTGTTCTCTCTATAGTCTCTCTCTGGTCTCTCTCTGGTCTCTCTCTAGTCTCTCTCTGGTCTCTCTCTGGTCTCTCTCTGGTCTCTCTCTGGTCTCTCTCTGGTCTCTCTCTAGTCTCTCTCTAGTCTCTCTCTAGTCTCTCTCTGGTCTCTCTCTGGTCTCTCTCTGGTCTCTCTCTGGTCTCTCTCTGGTCTCTCTCTGGTCTCTCTCTGGTCTCTCTCTGGTCTCTCTCTGGTCCCTCTCTGGTCCCTCTCTGGTCCCTCTCTGGTCCCTCTCTGGTCCCTCTCTGGTCCCTCTCTGATCCCTCTCTGGTCCCTCTCTGGTCTCTTTCTTGTCTCTCGCTAGTCGTTCTCTCTAGTCTCTCTCTCTCTCTCTGGTGTCTTTCTCTCTAGTCTCTCGCTCTGCTCCCACTTGACTCTCTCTCTGGTCTCTCTCTGGTCTCGGCTCTCGCTCTCTGCTCCCTCTCCTCTCTCCTCTCTCTCTCTTCTCTGCTCTCTCTCTCTGCTCTCTCTCTCTGCTCTCTCTCTCTTCTCTGCTCTCTCTCTCGCTCCTCTCTCTCCAGCAGAACCAAACACCTGATTATACATCCTGTTTCCCGATCTCTGTGACATAACGGTGTAACTCACATGAATACAAGGCAGAAGACACAGCATTGATGCACAGCCCCCAGCAGCCCACCTCCACTCCTCTCTCGTACGTCGCATAAGCCGTAGAATTGTGATCCGCGTACGGGTTTCCTTTGTACACAATCTGAAACCAAGCAGAACAAAAAACCTAATCAGACTTGGATTTGGCCGTATACAATTTCCATCACCTTTTCCAATACATGGGCTCGGAATAGAAACCTGAAAGGAGAGCTGAATGTCAACCGTTGAAAGGAAATGCTTTTAAGATGTCAATGTGGCGCTGTGGAACCAGACCTACTATACAGTAGTTTGAGACGTGACATAAAATACCTTTTGAGGGGTTTGGAAAAGAGGTCCACATGGGGTCTGTCCGCGATCTCAAGTGTTACTAAAAACGTTATGGATGTTTATGGACTTTGGTCATCCGCCCTGAAAGGACCAATGGCTCTATGTGTTTTTTTATCACACTGCAAAAAATGATCAAATATAAGGCCATTTTAGCTTGAATCGAGTGTTTTTTATCTTAATTTTAGTGCATTTTGACTGAGTTAACACAAGATTCTCCATCGGGACGAATCCATTCAGCCTTATTTCAGGAACTGTTTTTTCAATTTCTCATTACAAAGGAGACATTATATTTATCTTAGCTGTAGCTTTGAACCATTGGCAAATCTAGTTTTAAGGCAGTCAAAATGTGCTTAGTTTTCATCACTTTTTGCATTTCTTGTTTGATCTGTTGATGGCAAAGCGAGTCCATCCATCAGTCCATTTCTGGGTCAGAGCTGCACCCAGTACACAGAGCACCAGCCCCTCATTGATCCTTCTTCTACAGGCAGTGTGGGGTTAAGTGTCTTGCTCAAGGACACAACAACAGTGGGAGTCATGGAGTAGGTCTCATGCTGGGCTCGAAACCCACAACCTTCAGGCCCAAAGGCCAATGCTTTACCAACTGAGCCACTGTTGCCCCTTTTTTCCTGCTATTTTAAAGTCCTCCGTGATAACTACTGTTGTCATGTAGTGCTATAGAAAAATACATTGATATGAATTGGATTAAGAGTTGAAAGCAAAGGGTATTCTAGAGCTGTGTTACCCCCAGGACCAGGATCTCACAAAAGTTACAATTGTTTACGACTCAGACCAGACACACAATATGGAACTCATGGTCTTGCACAGAGGGGGGATGATTGTCTGTGGGACGCCACGCTGAGATATCGGTGTTTTGTGGATCGAGGGCCGCACTTGTTTTCATGTGGCGACCATTTCCTCTTATTAGGAACAACATATTTGAGTGTGAGCTTCTTCAGTTAAAAATTGAATAAAACAGTATTTGATGAACCAAAATATTCACAGAGAAGGAGAGAGAAATAGGTAGATCCAATTTGTTCTTGTGTTTGCTTTTCTTCTGCATCCGTGGCTATATTTTGATGACCTTTTATAATGTGGGAGGAACTTTGAAAACATTATTTTCATTTCATTACATATGGATTATATTCTTAGTTTTCTTTAGATCTAAATTTATTCTTGGATTTAATTAAAGCTGGACTAAAGTTGAAGAAGGCTCACTTCTTTGGTTTCTCTCTCTCTCTCTCTGCTCTCTCTCAAGCATCCCTCTCTGGTCTCTGGTATCTCTCTCTACAGTCTCTCTCTGGTCCCTCTATCTCTCTGGTCACTCTCAAGCCTCCTTCTCTGGTCTCTGGTCACTCTCTCTCTGGTCACTCTCTCTGGTCACTCTCTCTAGCTCTCTCTGGTCTCCTCTGTCAATCTTTTGTCTCTCTGGTCTCTCTCTCTCTTCGGTTTCTCTTTTGTTTCTCTCTTCTGTAACTTTGTGATGCAATAAATCTCCCCACAGCGGGACAAATGAAGGATCTCTTAATCTCAATCTTTATCTTAACAACACATATAAACAAATGTATTTTCTCCTCTACGCTCTCCCCCTTGTTTCGTATTGGAACGCCTCCCAATTATGTGTTTTAACCTCTCTGTTTCAACCCTGTACCTTTTAACACCGTAAATACAAAAACACATAGACTACACAGTGAGTAAACGTGTGTAGATTAAGCACCTGTCCCATGAAGTCCGTGAAGAAGAGCATGTTGCAGAGGAAGGCCGTCCATCCCAGCAGGTGACTCACGCATAAGTAGCGGTAATGGCTCGGCATGTTGATTACAGCTTTCATTAAAGACCTCAACGTCATTCTCTTCTGAGCCTGCACACAGAAGTGACAACGTTAAATATATATGTATACGTTTGTGAGCTGCAGCGGTTCAAATGGGCCGTAATTTCCCCTTTTGTCTCTCTAAATATCCGGTGCCATGGCAACACCTGAAAACGTTATGTTTGTGAGACATTATGAACGTGATGCAATTTCTAAAGGGCAAAAAAAAACATTGAAAAACAGACACCTTATTGGTCTAAGAGGGTGTTTGGAATGACAGGACGCCACAGAGGTGATGGGGGAGTTCATCACGGAAGGTGGGGGCGGGGGGACAGTGCTCTTCCTGAAGTCCACAATCATCTCCACTGTCTTCTGGGCGTTCAGCTCCAGGTTGTTACCACTGCACCAGGACACCAGCCTGTCCACCACCCTCCTGTAGGCAGACTCATCGTTGTTGGAGATGAGTCCAATGAGGGTGGTGTCGTCCGCGAACTTGATCAGCTTCACGGAGTCGTGCGGTGCAGTGGTTGGTGTACAGGGAGAAGAGAAGAGCAGGGGAGAACATAGCCCTGTGGAGATCCTGTATTTATAATCCGAGAGTCCAAGACATTCTTTCTCAGGCTCACACGCAGACGACTTGTCTATCTATCTATGTTTGTTTTGTAATGAGAAGTTTTGTTACAACACAAGGAACAATGAAGCGCGAAACATGATCCACAGATGGTCTCACCTGTAAATGTGAGTTTATATATAAATGTGAAATATATATATATATATATATATATATATATATATATATATATATATGTGAGGTCTCACCTGTAAATGTGAGTTTATATATAAATGTGAGTATATATATATATATATATATATGTGAGGTTTGACATAAGCCCAGGTCTGTATGGCTGCTTACATTCACATATCTTCGTAGTATTAACGGGTCGAATGGGTATGTGGAGCCTCGATGCATCACATGCTCGTCACAACTTAACAAATGCTTAGAGTTCAAAAGAAGTTTATAAAATCCACACATTCCTCCTGTTCCTCAACTCTGATTTCATTTCCATTACTATTATGCTTCTGTACATTTATGTCTATGGCTTCTCCACTTCTGCTACACCACTTTTTATTGCCATTGTTTCTGTAGCTACTGATGTATTTATTTATTTCCTTTGTTTGGATGGATGTGTTTCTGCTGCTGCTGGACACATGCAGCCCGCGGAAATTCAATTTAGTAGACGTCAGCCAAAGCTACCCCCTCCGGGCCGACTCGCATCCCCAGCCTATCGCACAGCAAACGCCCCCTTCCAATCACACCGTGCCGGACAGGCCAGCCGCTTAAAAGCGGAGAAACTCCCACTTACGGCCTCCCGAAGCCTCGCAAGCCCTCGAAGCCTTGCAGAGAATCGTCTGGAGGAATCGTTTTCGTCTACTCACGCTACTCGGCGCGACCCTGGCGTCCTCCGTCTGGCTGCTTGTGGTCTGCTCCTCCTCCGCGTCCCTGCACTGGTCTGCTCCTCCTCCGCGTCCCTGAACTGGTCTGCTCCTCCTCCGCGTCCCTGCACCTGTTGTGGTTCGCGTGTCTCCACTGCTCTCCTCCTCTGTGGGCTCTTTCTGCGGGCTGCTCCGCGGGACCCTCCGCGGGTTCTGTGCGGCTCGTTCCTCGTGGTCTGCTGCCGCGCGCAGAAGGTCTGGCGGTGCCGTGCGTGTCCCTGCCTCGATTGGCGGTGCTGCGTTGTCCCGTTGCTTTTCCCAAGTCTCCTGGCATGTGAGTACAGTGAGTGTGCTGACCGCGGACGGATTAATCCCGGAGTTTTGGGCTGCAGGCGATTGGTTTTTGCCCCGCGCACTTGACTGCAGGCGTCAGTTTTTTCGCCCCGTGCTTGGTCTGCAGGCTCCATTTCACATGTGTTTGAGCTAACTGAGGGGCAATGCATATTAAATGGCATCAATCTCTATCGTCTGAGGGATATACGAGGAGCTATGTGCATTAATTCAGATTCATGTTCTGCCACTTGCAGTAAAACCATGCATTTAAATAGCTAGGTCGCTGGTATTAAATTAGGTGACTAAACTGCAGTTGTCGCATTTTGAAAGTGCAGCAGAAAGAAAAAGGGCCCAACATGAATCTGCAATGGGTGTGAAGTGGTGTTGGAGCTATGAACGCATGGATCAGTGATCGTTCATGCGTATCTGCCATAACCAAAGCAGCAGATGGCTCCAGGGGACGTCTGTTATTCGCATGGGATGTTTCGGATTCGGGTCGGTTTTTTTTTTCCTCAGGCTGTTAAACAACCATGGGCATGGTTCTCTGACCGCCGCTGCTGCCGGTCCCCGCCGCCGTTCCTACTGATGCCTGATCCCGCTGCCGCTGTTCCTGCTGCCGCTCCTGCTGCTGTCTGTCCCTGCTGCCTGTTCCTGCTGCTCCTCCTACTGCTGTTCCTGCCGCTGCCGCTCCGCAGGCTCCCAGGCTGCACCTGTTTCTACGGCTCGGCTCTTTCAAACACGTACGTAACCTGGCTCACGGAGACAAGCGGCGCACGCTGGCATGACACGTCTGTTTGTTCGTATGACTCGCCTTGTGGTGCTGCTGCTCCCGCTAATGCTGCTTCATACTGCTACCGCTACTGCTGCTACTGCTGCCGCTGCTGATTCATACTGGTACTGCTGCCGTGCTGCTGCTGCTTCATGTACTTTGTCATCTCTCTTCACTTCGCTTCTCTTACTGAAACACTAAACAGCTACAACATATTCTACTGCCGTGGCTTTGATACAGGATTTTTGCCGTTATTATCTACGGATGCTGCAGCTGCTGCCGCCGCGGCTGATACAGGTCGTTGCCGTTATTATCTGAGGTTACTGCTGCTGCCGCTGCTGCTACTGCTACTGCTACTGCTGCAACCCACTCTCTCAGAAGCTTATCCTGCTTCTAATGGATGCAGCCCGGCTGAGTATGCCGCGCTGCGCTGGACTCGCACCTATGCTCCCAGGGTCGCTTCGGCGGTCATGCTTCATCTTTCTACTTAATCTTCTGATTCTATCAGATGCAGCCGGCCGAGTAGCTACGCTGAGCCGTCAATCGGACTCCTAATCAAAGGCATCCATACCTGTATTCTTCACTCTTCTGATCGCAGGCTCCCCATCATGCTGCCCATCCTGCAGCGGCACTGAACTCCGGCTCATCTTCCAAGTACATGTCTGCCCTCCTCGCAGCATCTTCCTGCTCTCCTTCTATGGCTTCCCTGCACAAGCGTTTCACTACTGCTCACTCAACCTTCATGCGGTCCGAGACACGGCTTTTCCCGACCATCCTACTATCCTGATTATCTACTCTCCAACCCAAGATTCTAAGCGTAAGGGCGCCTGCAACTTCAATGGCCCTCTCCGATATGTCTCTGCCCTACAGGTCTCCGCTTCTACACGGACGCTGCCCCTTCCGTGGGTTTTGGGGGGTTTTTTCCAGGACCAGTGGTTCGCCGGGCCGTGGCCGCTACTTTCCACCGGAGCATCTCCTCTGCCCTACACGAGATATTCCCAGTGGTCGTGGCCTGCACGCTGCGGAATCACACGTGGCAGAGAAAGAGGATCTCTGTCATGCGTGATAATCCGACGTAGTGGAAGCTTACACAAAGGTCGCTCTCTTTCACCCAACATTATGTCCCCTGACCCTTTCAACCTTCATTTCAAACATTCAAAGACCAAGGCGCCTGCAACATAATAATAGCTCGCTCCGACACATCTCTCTGCCCCTACAGGTCCATGATGCGTTACACTCGCCTCCGCTGAAAAAAGGAGATTTTAACGGCCCTCTAATCCTCACTCCAGTCAACCTTCCCATCACAGCAACCTGGTTCACAGCTCAGCTAAGATCCCTACTGCTCCTCTGCAATTGTCTCCCCAGCTCTACACAGCTCACTCCTTCAGGATAGGCGCTGCCACGCGCGCGGCCTCACTGGGGCTCCCCCACACCTCTCTGCAACAGCTGGGGCGCCGGTCCTCTTCGGCTTTCTCCGCCTACATCAGGTCAGACGCGTCCGCTATCCTGCCTGCACAACGTCTACTGGCTTCCTCGTAAGCTCCCAGCAAAGCAATACGAAGCAAAGTAGGTGAAGCAATAAGATTCTGGTGGCGGCACGCACTTTTCTCAAATACTCTCCGCTGCCGCAGCGCCTGACGGAACGTGATGCGAGCGCTCACGTTCCCAGCGCGCAAAGATAACCCTGCTACAGCGTCTGGTTGATCGTGATGCGAGCGCTCACGTCCCAGCGCCCAAAGATAACCCTGCCGCAGCGTCCGGTTGATCGTGATGCGAGCGCTCACGTCCCGGCGCCCAAAGATAACCGCATATAGCGGTCATAGCATATAGTGATAGCGGTCATAGCATATAGTGATAGCGGTCATAGCATCAGTGATAGCGGTCATAGCGTCAGTGATAGCGGTCATAGCGTTAGCGTTAGCGGTCACAGCATAGCAAAAAATGGTTAGCGCATAAACGGTCACAGCATAGCGATCACAGCATAGCGATAGCGGTCACGACGTCTGTTCCCTGCAAACTAGGCTGCAAAACTCCATCAATTCACAGCCTTTTTGGGGATTCTACGCGCTCCAGCGCAGGAGCCTCTCCGAACTGAAGGCCGCACCGGGGCCTAGGGCGCCAAACCACCTCTCATTAAAATACTCAAAAGCATTCTTGTTTTCACGTCTCTCCAAATTGAAATGCAGCCAGCGGAAATTCAATTTAGAAGACGTCAGCCAAAGCTACCCCCTCCGGGCCGACTCGCATCCCCAGCCTATCGCACAGCAAACGCCCCCTTCCAATCACACCGTGCCGGACAGGCCAGCCGCTTAAAAGCGGAGAAACTCCCACTTACGGCCTCCCGAAGCCTCGCAACCACCGCCTCCCCTCCTCCTCCTCTTCACCCTGCCTCCAATCTGCCTCCAAATCTGCTTCACGCTGCCAAAATGCCGCCACCAGTGCCTAGGCCCCGGGGGGATTCTACGCGCTCCAGCGCAGGAGCCTCTCCGAACTGAAGGCCGCACCGGGGCCTAGGGCGCCAAACCACCTCTCATTAAAATACTCAAAAGCATTCTTGTTTTCACGTCTCTCCAAATTGAACTGCATTTCTCCGACTCGGATCCATAATGTATCTATATATATTTTTTTTTTGTCTTTCAAAGTCCAGATCCATATAAGGATGGACCAATCAGATGCCTTCATTCCTTCCAGCTTTCTAATTTTGTTTTTGATTCATTGGATTTATTTCAAGCTCATAAACAGGAGTCAATTATAGAATTTACAGCAATTACATATTCTATAATAGAAACAGACGTACATGCATTCAAACATTTAAGGATTTCCTACTATTATTATTTTTTTTTACTCCTGTCAAAGTGGGAAGGTGTCAAACTTATAAGCTCCCATCCCCTCAGCTACAGTTATTGTGTCCTTAGGCAAGACATTTCACCCACACTACCTAGAACGGGTCGTGTGTGTGTGTGTGTGTGTGTGTAATGTGGAAGGGGTTTCCGCATTCTGGTTGCCTCGCTTCTGTCAGTGTGTCCCAGGGCACCTGTGGCTATAGTAGTAGTTTATCACCACCGTGTTTGGAGAGAATGAATATTGGGACACTGAAGGTCAATTTTAGTGTCCAAATGTATTTATTATTATTATATATTTGCATTAAAATGTATCTTATTTATTTTATTTAGTTCATTTATTTCATTTTTATTTTTATTTTTTATTAATATTTACTTAATTTTATTATTTCATGTATTTCATGTATTTTATTTATTATGTTTTTTTTTTTTTTTACAGCCAAGGCTAATTTGCATTATTAATTCAAGAAGAGCAATTATAAAACTCATGCACCAATTATTATTATCATTATTACTATTATTATTGTTGTTAAAAGAAAAAGCACTCATGATCCTCTTCAGTGAAACAGACTGTGGTGGTTCTGTCGCCACAGATGGAGCTTCCTCCTCGTACACACTGACACCAGCGGTGACGGGAGCCGCAGCGTGACGGCGCCGTTCACCTCTTTTCATGCAAAACCCTCAAATTAAAGCTGATACTGTTGAAGTACATCTTGTGCATTTCAATTCAAATCCACTGAGATGTTACAGAGAGAGAAATATGAGAAACGTGTCGACGTTGAAATATTCATGGCCCGAAGAGACGCCGCTTTTTATCAAATGTCCCAGAAAAATGTTCTTATGTTCTTGTGTTTGCAAATGTGTCAACTTGCATTAAATGTAATAAAATGTTATGTCAGACGAGCCTAAAAATAACCACAACCACAAACCATGCCCAAAAATACAAAACTCTTAATATTTATAATCATTGACTGTATTTTAGGATAGACGGGTCGAGTGCTAGACAATTTTGGAAGAAGCTGATTTAAGCATAAGCTAGCTGTAGCCAACTTCCTTATATGGGTATTTGTTACGACGGCGTTAGCTTTATGCTGTAATGTTTATGGACGTTGGTCTCTGCCCCTCATGGACCAATGGCTCTATGTGTTTGTTATCATTGTATTCCCAGTGTTTGAACGGTTTGATTCTCTAATTTGTGGTGAAGAATCGACAAAACATAACTGGTCTCTTGCTGGTGCCCAGAATCAGAACTAAACATGTGGAGGCAGCATTTCAGATTTTTGCAGCTAAAATCTTCCTGAAAATGTGAGACAGGCTTTTACTCTGACAAGGAAAAAATCCAGGTTTTGTTTAGCTGTGCATCCAACTGAAGGATTGTCACTCTTTTAAATGTATGTGCTTATTAATCTTGTGTGTATGAACTGGACTTCACAAAGTTGATGATTTGCCAACACAGATCAGAGAAACACACAGAGCCATTGGTCCATAAAGGGGCGGATGACCAATGTCCATAAATATTATGTATTGTGTGCATCATTTAGAGCAGACAAGTCAAACTCGGCCCAAACATGAATTTAAATTATTATTATTTACCTTCAGCATTGATAGTAATGGAGCACCATGGCATGTTATACATCATCTATGTTCTCAGGGAAACAACCAAATTGAATGAATTCTAAAATTTGAAAAGAACACATAATTTGACTTTAAAAATTGAACAATATTTGGTCCAGTTTTTGTTAAATGTAAAATTTGGAAAAAGTCGTGTCAAAATTCCCTTCATAATGTGGGCCCCCGACCAGTTCTTATTACTTTCATTCGGCCCCTGACCAAAAACAGTTTTAGAGCTTACCTTCTTGTTGGGCTGCTTGGCGCTGGAGGTGACAGAGTTGGCCTCGCCCAGAGCAGAGAAGGACCGGGGCCTCAGCTCTGTGGGGGAGCTGGGGGCCCCGACCGGCTCTTTCACCAGGGCTCCGTATCCGTTGCTGTTGGTGTGGGAGCCCAGCAGACGCAGAGCACTGGGGGCCGACTCTGGGCCCTCTTTGCCCAGCGGCTGTTCGGGAATGCTGAAGAGGTGGACGGTGAGGAACACGGCCCACGTCAGCGCAGAGAAGAAGTAGATGACCTGGTACTCGGAGCCCAGGAGCCGGCCCAGCAGCGAGTGGCCCCAGTCCATGGCCCCCACCAGGTATCCACAGGCCCCTCCCAGACCTGCACAGCACCACAAGACACAGGGACTTTAGGGCGGTACACAAATACACTGGATTAAAGTGGAATATTCAAGAACCGGGGGCACAGAGAGACACAGAGAGACACAGAGAGACACAGAGACACAGAGAGACACAGAGACACAGATAGATATAGGGATATAGAGAGACACAGAGACACAGATAGATATAGGGATATAGAGAGACACAGAGAGATATAGAGACACAGAGAGATATAGAGAGACACAGAGAGACACAGAGAGACACAGAGAGATATAGAGTGACACAGAGAGACACAGAGAGATATAGAGAGACACAGAGAGATATAGAGAGAGACAGAGAGATATAGAGAGACACAGAGAGACACAGAGAGAAACAGAGAGACACAGAGAGACAAAAAGAGACACAGAAAGCTATAAAGAGATACAGAGAGACACAGAGAGATATAGAGCGACACAGAGAGACACAGAGGGACAAAAAGAGACACAGGAATAACACTTGAGCACGAGGCAGACAACACAGTAAATTAACTGAGACAAAACTTTAAAATGCACCAAATAAAAACAAACATCCACAAGACTTTGCATTTGTCCATTAGTTGGTTTCACAGCTTAATTTGAATGACTGCACCGAGCCACTTAAAGGTGACGTCAGCTACTTTCAATGTGTTTCATCATTAAGATAAGATAAGATAGACTTTAAAGGAGACGTGTGATGCCAACTCGACTTTTTCTTTTAACACTGCTAGAACTCTGAATAATTTAACAGTAATTTATATGGTTTGCTCGTTTAGTAGTTGCCTAATCGGGTAAATATAACTTAAAAACTGTTTGTTGAAAGGCTTCCAAACGCAGAAAGTAAACAGTGTGTCGCTATGGTAACTAGCACTTGCTCTGCTCTGGGGAAAAGCGGACTCGGCTCAGAGCCAGAACCAGACCAGGACCAGCACCTTGAGAAAGGTTTAACTGCCGTAGAACGTTGATTAAAAAGAGAGAATGGCTTATTTTGAATTTTACATCTAAATTAATAGCCGTCAAAATGACTGCTCTGGGAGTTTAAAGTATTTACATAGAAATCCCTATTAGGTCTGAAAGGAAGGTTTTAAGGCCTCTTTGAAAGATCTAAAAACTTTCCGGAGAGACCAGAGAGAGACCAGTGAGAGACCAGTGAGAGACCAGTGAGAGATTTGTGAGAGACCAGAGAGACCAGAGAGACCAGTGAGAGACCAGTGAGAGATTTGTGAGAGACCAGAGAGACCAGAGAGACCAGAGAAAGACCAGAGAGAGACCAGAGAGAGACCAGAGAGAGACCAGAGAGAGACCAGTGAGAGACTTGTGAGAGACCAGAGAAAGACCAGAGAGAGACCAGAGAGAGACCAGTGAGAGACTTGTGAGAGACCAGAGAGAGACCAGTGACAGACCAGAGAAAGACCAGAGATAGACCAGAGAGAGACCCAAGAGAGACCAGAGAGAGACCAGTGAGAAACTTTGGAGAGACCAGAGAGAGACCAGAGAGAGACCAGTGAGAAACTTTGGAGAGACCAGAGAGAGACCAGAGAGAGACCAGAGAGAGACCAGAGAGAGACCAGAGAGAGACCCAAGAGAGACCCGAGCGAGACCCGAGAGAGATCCAAAAGAGACCAGAGAGAGATCCGAGGGAGACCGGAGAGAGACCAGAGAGAGACCAGAAAGAGAGAACAGAGAGAGACCAGAAAGAGAGAACAGAGAAAGAGACTAAAGAGAGACCAGAGAGAGACGCAAGAGAGATCTGAGAGGGACCAGAGAGAGACCAGAGAGAGACCAGAAAGATACTAGAGAGAGACCAGAGACCCAAACAATACCATACAGTATATGTGTAGTCTGGACAATAGACTGTAAATAAAACTCTGGACCAGTTTTATACCAAAGATTTGATTCTGAAATGAGTTGACAATGATTGATGCGTGTAATTATTCCTGTCGGAGCCCTGTTTCCTCTTTATTATGCGTTTGTTCTGGTTGCAGTCCTCGAGGGCGGATCCAGGAGATGATAATAAACCTTCTATTGAACACTTTCTCGCACTCGGGAGCAGTGGTCCGTGGCCTCCGTGTTTGTGCAAAAGATGCGGTGAACTTGCATCTGTAATATCGTCTCCGAACGCAGCCTTTACATCGAGGAATAAAAACCTGATTCTGTGAGTTCTACACGCCGACATGAGCCAGTGAGTCAATTGTCAGCACTTGGATAGATAGAGAGGCAGAAAGATGGAAAGGTGAAAACTTTATCGATCCCCGTAGAAAATATTCAGGTCCAGGAGCAGAAACACATCCGTCCATACAAACCAATACATACTACATCTTAAGCAGGACAGGTCTCAGCAGCAGAGGTGGTGTGGTCTCTGCTGATGAGCTGCTCCCGATCCTCTGGTGGATGTCTGCAGAGTCTGTTTGGTTTGGACCATTTTCTCTGCTCTGGTTCAGAGTGAAGTTCTGAATGAGTTATTAGAAGCGCGAAAAAAAAAGGGTAATTCTTCAGTGGATTTAAGCTTGTTCTGCTTGTTGGGACTGTGCATACCGTCTGCTCAGGTCTGGATCAGTGTAAAACCATGAACAATGAAATGCAGTAACATTTACAGCTAGCTAACTGTTTCAGAGCTGTACTTACACAGCAAATCGTGATGAACAATATGTCGAAAAAGCTCAAATGTGATAAAAATGTATCTTAATTTGAGCACATTGTGAATGCCTTAAAACAATATTGGCCAATGGGACCGCGCAAAATGATCTTGTTTTAAAAAGACACACAAAATATCTGCCTTTGAATGATAAAATAAAGCAACAGTTCGTAAAAAAAGACTAAATGGCTTTGTCCCATTGGAGAATCTTGTTTTAACACAGTCAGAATGTGCTCAGATTAAGATAAACCACTCGATCCAAGCAATTATTACTTAATTAATACTTCACTATTTTTTCATTTTCTACAGTGTAGGACTTGCTTCCGTTTCCGGCGCATTCAGAAGAGACAGTCAGATTCTACACTGCTGCTGAGAGCGTACCTTTACTTATTGTGATGGGAAAGTTTCGAAACATTTTTAATTGTGGTAAACGCTCAGAGCGAGACAAATATGTCTAGTTTCTTAACTACTGGCCATAATTAGCCATCTAGGAAAATAAACTAAACTTATTGAAATGCGTAGTAAGGGTAAAAATGTAGGTCACCTGGTGGTGCAAAACCTCTCCTGAGTCCACTTGGTTTCCCACCAGAGAATCAGAATCATTACATACAATACAAATCAATACATCATCTGAGTAACAGGAGGCACAGACTAGGAAATTGCTTTGGCTCGGTGCAGCAGTCAAAGAAGAGAGGTAAAGAATAGAAGGCAAGGCAAGTTTATTTGTATAACACAATTCATACACAAGGCAACTCAAAGTCCTGAACAAAACAAGAAAGAATTAAAATCATAAATAATCACAGAACATTAAAAAGAAAGATAAAAATATAAAATCCCTCAGTTGTATGCACAGCTAAACAGAACTGTCTTTGACCTGGTTTTAAACATTGTCAGAGAGAAGGCCTGTCTCACATCTTCAGGAAGATTGTTCCAGATTTTAGCAGCATGAATCTGAAAAGCAGCCTTCCCATGTTTAGTTCTGACTCTGGGCACTAACAGGAGTCCAGTCCCTGTGCTCCTCAGAGTCCGGGCTGGTTCATATGGGACTAACATGTCACTAATATATTTTGGTGCGAGGCCATGGAGAGACTTGTACACAAGCAGAGCTGTTTTAAAATATTCTCTGAGCCACAGGAAGCCAGTGCAGAGACCTGAGAACTGGACTAATGTGGTCGTACTTCCTGGTTCTAGTCAGGACTCGAGCTGCTGCATTTTGAATGTACTGCAGCTGTTTTACAGCCTGTTTGGACAGACCTGTGAGCAGGCCATTGCAGTAGTCTAACCTACTGGAGACAAATGCATGGATAAGAATCTCCAAGTCTGCTTTAGACACTATGTTTTTGTAGAGATTGAACAGAAGAGGTCCCAGGATCGACCCCTGTGGTACTCTACAGGTCAGGGCCATATGATCTGAGACACAGTTTCCAATCTCCACAAAGTACTTCCTGTCTTCAAGGTAAGACCTAAACCAACGTAGAATAAGGCATATAACAAATCAGCAACACTTCTAGGGTATAGAGATTAAAATTAAATAATGACAATTACAATTACTATATACAATATACTGTACAAGTGCACATGGTGCACACAATATGCAGTAAGCAGTGCAATAAGGTGACTTTATAGTAGCAAAGTGACTTTGTAAAGGGCAGTAAAGTGACTTTGGGCACAATGCGCTGTAGTCTCTGCTTGTCACTGACAGTGGCTCCAGCGAACCACACAGTGATGGAGGAGGTGATGGAGGAGGTGATGGAGGAGGTGATGGAGGAGGTGATGGAGGAGGGGATGAAGGAGGTGATGGAGGAGGTGATGGAGGAGGTGATGGAGGAGGGGATGAAGGAGGTGATGGAGGAGGTGATGGAGGAGGTGATGGAGGAGGGGATGAAGGAGGTGATGGAGAAGGTGATGGAGGAGGTGAGGATGGACTCGATGATGGCCGTGTAGAACTGCATCAACATCTGTGCAGGCCGCAAGAATTACATCCTCTGCTGGGCCTTCTTGATGAGGGAGCTGATGGTCGGCTCCCACTTGAGGTCCTGGGTGATGGTGGTGCCCAGGAAACGATAGGACTCCACAGAGGTGAAGTCCATCACGGAGGGTGGGGGCGGGGGGACAGTGCTCTTCCTGAAGTCCACAATCATCTCCACTGTCTTCTGGGCGTTCAGCTCCAGGTTGTTACAACTGCACCAGGACACCAGCCTGTCCACCACCCTCCTGTAGGCAGACTCATCGTTGTTGGAGATGAGTTCAATGAGGGTGGTGTCGTCCGCGAACTTGATCAGCTTCACGGAGTCGTGGCTGGAGGTGCAGTGGTTGGTGTACAGGGAGAAGAGCAGGGGAGAAAGAACACAG